TCGACCCACAACCAACGAGGTAGTCCCCGATTTTGCTACGCAGCTTGATGGCCATGCTCTTCGCTGCTGGCCACCAACGCTCTATTGATGCTGCGCTCAGCATGGCCCGAGCGTTCGTATGGAGCAGCCACACGAGAGCGCGCGCCACGTCCAAGACAGAGGCCTACGACGCACCGCAGCACGGCGGCTACAGCACCTAGGGCGCGTACAAGAAGCGCCACGAGATCAAGACGCTGGAGCAGCCTGCGCAAGACCCAGCACCTCGTCGCGAACCCCTAGCGACATCATTTCTGGTGCAGGTGTCAAGCCTCTTCACTTTTGCGTCTTGCTGCACCTCGGCAAGTGCCCAACGTCCCTGCACTTGCGACTGATCTTGCATATTGGTCCAGTAGGTTGCGCTCGACGAACGACACGCGGGCGAAGATGGACCGCTCGATCTCTTGTCTCGATCGTTGCTGTCGCCCTTTAGAGTTGATTTGGACACGACCGCTTTACGCTCGTCGTCTCGATGGCGATGTGTAGCATCAACGCCGGGTCGTCCACGTCACCGTGACAGCAGAGTCGACGAGATCAAATCCGGCACCAGCAGAAGCTTCGAGGCACGCGAACAACTCAGCGTGTCTCGCAGCCTTCAGTGAGCTGCGGCAGCTATACCCAGCTCGAGAAACGCGTCATGCCCAAGATCGTTTCAATCCAGCGCGCAGGTCGCAACCCAATAAACTCCGCCGGCACGTTTCAGGGCGTCAGTCTCTGTCTTGCCGTGCTCGCCCAAGAGGCAGCTCAGAGCTTTCGTCCGCTGCGCGGCCGCTGGTGCATTCAACGTTTTCCACTAGAAGCAGCTCAATACGCTGAGGTCAAGTCGCGCAGGTGCTATGTGCTGCTCCTTCTCTGGACACCGATGACTTTGTCCAACGTCCAAGCGATTGCGCACATTGAGCCCGTCTCGGGCAAGGGCCTCGAAGTGTTTCTGCGCACGGGCAAGCTCTAGTCAGTACGCCCGTGGCGCGCCAGATTGCCAAAACGGTCACTACGAGCGTGTGCAGCTGGCGTCCGTCGCGAGCATCCAGATCACCGCTCATTTTGGGGTCTCTATGGGCCGCTTCCTCAGCCACGTCAAGGCTACGAGTCTCTCGACGCCCAAGATTTTGCTCGTCAAGAGTCGCGTTGCGCTCCAGCTCCTCTTACCGCAGCTCCAGACGACGTTTGTCAATGCGTTCAACGATCGTACCAGCTGCGCAACATTTAGCGGCAGCTTTTGGACCCGTGATGATGAAAATACCACGTCCTGTGTTTGTTTTATATGCAGAACCGCTTGGGTGCTGGATACGAGTACTACGTACACTCATGTCTCTCGGATTGGTTAGAAGAGCGTGATACCACGTCATGTTATACATCGATGATGACTTCGACGAGTCGTCTGCTGCCGTAGCCTCCGCAGCCGAGCTCTGACTACTCAAAGTCATCTTAACCAAGTAGGCTGACTTCATCTACCGAGTGATGCTCCGCGCGGTCAAGATCCGCGCGGCTCGACAGGGCCGACCAAGCGTGCATCTTCTGCCCCGAGCACGAGACATACCGCCACTTCGTCGTAGACTGCGACTTCATCAAGGACATGTGGAGCACGGCTCACGCAGTCACGGTCCCATTGGGCGCGACCTTGCCGACAGCGCCGCCAGTACACCGAGAGCAACTCCGAGAGAAGCGAGCCAAACGCGCTGCGATCTGCGGAGCTGGTGCTGCTGACCACGAGGTCCGAAAAGCCAACCGATAGTGTCGAGCTCCCGCCTCTTTGCCTCTTTGCTCGTATTATTTCTACGCCCATGTTTCTACTTGGCGCCTTCGCGGTCCATGTCGCCTTTCTTAGGCTTGAGCTCGAAGAGCACGCGTTTCCAGTACTCGGTGAGGGCCTCTGCGAGCGTCTCGGGGCACGTGGCTACCTCGCGCAAGGATAAAAGCGCACAAAGCTTGGCGTTGATGTTGGCAAAGATCTTAACTTTGGGCAAACGATGGATGACGCTCGGTGCCGTGCGGTTGCCGATCTATTGGCGTCGTCATTTTGAAGAGAAACGCCGCCTACAACGTGATCGTGTGAAGCCTATCAGCGTGGAAATGGAAGAGTACCGTCTGCGGCCCGTCGATCGCGCAGTCGCCCAACGCTTCGACCTTGAGAGCTGCCTAGAGCTTCAAGCCCTTGACGACAACGAGGCGACGGACCTTGAGCGGGTCGAGCATCTGCATGGCTCCATCGTGTACACGACCGAGTGGACATTCGATGAGCACGTGCAGCAAGGTCGGCTTGGATATCTGTCACTTGAGCGACGCAAAGAGGAGGATGTCGACGCACGCTTGGTCGGGCGGATGGTCGCCTTCTTCTTGATCGCGAGCTGGCGGACGAGCGACGCGCGAATCGTGTGCCACCAACGTGCGGGAGATCTGCAGGAGCGCGTGGATCTAGCCGTGCAGAAAGAAATGCGTCAAGTCGATCGCTTGCTTGGACGTACGCAGTCGCGCGGCGGGTCGTCAACGTCGAAGAGTCTTCAACGCACGTGTGCCTTGAACGCCGCCGAGCGCTTGGATCCAACCTCTGGAGCTGCATATTATGCAGCCCGATCTCCGGTACCTTGTACACTGCGCGCATGTCAGCGGTCGCTCGTGGCGCAGCTGCTAGGGCGTCGTCGTCTTAGCCGTGGTTTGCGTCGCGGCCTTGGGCGCCTGGGCGGAGCCTGAGCGCTGGGCCCGAGCGGAGCAACAGGTTGGATGGCGAGCTGCGCGAACGACATCTCGTGGGCACGCTGCCCCACTCGCCTGCGCGCTCTGACACCAGCGTCCGGCTCGGCTGGCGCCAGTAGTAAAGCGGGCCAAAGCCCGCGTCGAACGACTCGCCTGAGATGGACGCCAGCCGTCGCCAGCTTTTCGGCCGATGATGGTGCGGGACGGAAAATCAAATCCGCGGCCAGTTGATTGGCCTGTCGGCGCAAGCTTGGGTGGCCTCGGTAGTCTAAAATCACCCAATGTATCCCTTTGCGTAAGGTTTCCGCTGCACAAAGCTTCGGGTATCGTCTCGCCGGCCTACACACCAACACTAAAGAGTAGATTCATCCTATTTGTGGCATTGACAGCTCTATCGTACGCAATAGATTCCAGGGACTCTCGGTGCTAGATCATAAACGGAGGTGTGGGTTTAGCCAAAGCTCATAATAAAACAGCTTGATACTTGTATGTGTTTTTATTCCTGTGTCAAATGACGTCACGTCATTCGTTTGCCATCCGGATATCCGGATACAGTCATTGAGGAAAGGCCGTCGATCCAAGCAAGAACGGGCTACTGCGACGCCAGCTCGTGCACGTAGCTTGCGATCGACAGAGACACATCAACCGCCTGCTGTGGGTACGAAAGATGTACCACCTCAAGAACGTATCACATCACAGTGGCGTCAAACTCGATGTCGGAGCTCACTCCGTGCTAAAAGTAGGCTCAACAACTGGCCTGGCGTTGACGAAAATGAGGGAGACCAACAAGGAACGCTGCATTGCGATCGAGCGATACCTCGTGATGGCGTGTGCGTAGAGACTGTTGATGGAGTCTCGTCGAACACAATGCAGCAGCATCAGTGGTGCCCGAGGAGCCTCGGCGTCACCTCTCGGGGTCGTCTTTCTGGCGTCGCTGGTCATTATTCTTGGCGTTCGCCATTTACAACCATAAATAACCATATTTGGGCGAACACAGGCCCGTGCGCCGACGGATCGACCAGAATCAAGTTTGAAAATGAAATCGCCCATACTCGCCAGAGTGCTAGACCACACTTTGGGGAGTCCAAACTGCTATGTGGCGTCGCCGTGCGAGCTCTGTAGTGAGAGCAAATGACAGCGGCAAACAATATATAAGATATAGTGTGCTTTTTCGCTACACCGATATACTGTGTCATGATACGAGGCCTCAGCACGCAGCGGTACCGCGCGCACTTTGCCTCCCTCGGCCACATGCAACACGCTCTTTAACATGAATACAAATGAGATGGCGTCCTTGGTTTTCGCGACTCCGACGCATTTCCAACCGAAATTGCATGCCGCATTTCGCGAAAACCGACGCTCGGCAGTTCGAGTTTCGTGTGAGTGCCCAAACAACGACGGCGACCAACAAACTGGTCGCACACCGGGTCGAGACCCATTGCCAACTGTGGCAGCCAGTCTTACGGTCTTTGGAGCTTTGGAACCCCGCGATGTCTCGTGAAGTATTTGGGCAATTCCGTCACCACCTCGAAAATGGAAAATCGATTTGCGCGTGATTGCGCCACGTGCAGCGTCGGAAACGACATGCACGTCATTCAGAAACAGTGTGGAGAGGTATACCCGGCTGCTACGTGGCGCTGGCGCGTCTGTGGGCTGCGATACGTTGTTGGGCTGAATAGTGCTCACACTATTTACGACGAGTGAGCCAAGTCTTGTGATTGGCTCGAAAGAATCGAGCATGGAGCCAATGCATTCCAGATCGATTCCAAACGAGCCACATGCACAAGAAGTGGTGTGGACGCGCGCGAACATCAGGAAGGTCCAGCGCGACGAGCAGCTGCTCCAAGAGGCAGAGCGCGCTGCCTTCCGCAAGAAGCGGACCTTGACGGCCGCGTCGAGGCGCTCAAGAAGATCAAGCCGACGCCGCCGGCCATCGACCTCTTTGCGCCCGACGAGACTGCGCCGCCGCCAGTCGCCAGCACCAAGAAGTATTCAGACGAAGGCATCGCGCTCGGCGGTGCGCTGAGCCCGGTCCACTGCCAGATAGGCCGACGCAAGCCGCCCTCGCAAGCTTGCCCTACAGCAGAGCCAAGACGACAACGTCGCCACCATGGCTGCCATCGTGGGCCGACCCAAGGCGCTCATGGCCACCACCAACGATACGCGGGACGCTGACGCACTCGCCTTTGCCGGTAATACATTCACTACGAATACGGGGCTCAAGAAGACGAAGACAGCCAAGTCATCGTCGTCTTCCTCCATTCGCCTCGAGCAGCTTCGACGCGAGCGCGCCGAGCGCAAGGCCGCCGAGCAGCGCCGACTCGAGACGCTCCTCCGGCGCTAACACAGAGCTACTCCTTGTAGATTTATATATGAAAGCAAAAGCAAACAACAGTCGTATCGATTGGGTCGTCCACTTGCGCACGCCAGCTTCGCACGCCACAGCTGTGTAGGACTTGGCGGCAGAATCTTTGGGGCAGTGTACTTGGAGAAGCCTTTGTCGAGCGCCGGCAAGGGGAACGCCAGTACACAGAGGGTCGTGGCCTTGGGTGGCGCAATCGGAAGATTTTATCGCGTAGGCCGTGGCCAAGCACGCCCGCGTCAAGGTTGGCGAGTACCTCGCAGAGCCCCTGGGCCGAACGCTACCGCTTGACCAAGGGTACATAAATTCAATAGGGTGTGTAACGGAATTTATTTTGGGCCCATTCCTGGCCTTTCCAGAAATGGATGTGTCAGACGGTTTCTCCATGCAAAACGCGACGAGTGCCGCGCTCTGTAATAAAATAAAGCATATTTAAAATACTCAAAATATTTTGTGTTTGTCTTTTTTATTACGCTTCTGCGGTCCTAATGTGGTCATCTTGGGGCATCCAACGACGATTGGCACATGCGCCCCGAGACTTGCCCCCTAGCTTAATACGTAGTCCAGGAATGCGGCTACATCCCATTAAAAATGTAGCCTTCGGGGCGCATGAGCCAATCGTCGTTGGTCGTCATGAAAAGGGTATCTTGCCAACCGGGAAAAGATCGCAGAATCCAAGCCCGGCCGTTTCATATCCAGTCTGAGGCTGGCAGTTGGTTGCGCTGATGATCTGCGGGGTCGACCGTCCAGCGGAGCTGGAGCCCGCGCCCGAGCCTGGACTGCAGCCCTCGTTGCAGTGTCGGAGTTGCTCACGCACTTGTCCAGCATCCGGCTACGACCGCATACGCTCCAACGGTCTCTGCAGCACCTGCGACGTCAGAGTACGGCGCGACAATATGGCGGCCAAGAAGAGTGCTGACACCCTTCGGCGCCGGTCAAAGCCTCCTCCGTCACCACCTCCATCGCCACGAGAAGCTCAGCCTGCAGCGCTACCCCTGGCATCACCGTCGATTGAACAACCTGCGACAGCGCCGCCACGGGTCTTGGAGACGAGCTTGAAGCTCTGCAACGGCGTTCGAAGCGACCTGCCGCCCAATGCATCGATCGAGCTCTACCAGCCACTTGCGTTTGCCATGGGACGCTACCGCACTCGCGACTGCCCCATCGTGCTGGCCGCGAGCTCCATCGGCGACGAGTGCAGCAAGTGCACGTCCAAGCGCTCCAACTTTGCTCGCGATGCGCGTCGGCTTGGCCTCACATCTGCCAAAGCTGCTGACGAAGACGACACCAATGCGTGGGTGCTCGCCAAGATCAGCGCGCTCTTGCCAGCACTGCGCACGGGACCGCTGAATGACATGCAGCAGGCCTAGATGCTACAGTACGCCCGCATTGTCGACGCGTGACAGCTGCATTGTCGACGTGTACCAGCTTCCGCTCAACAACGACGGTGTCGTGGACGGGAAATGGTCGTCTTCTTCTGCCTGGGCATCTCGATCGACGGCGTCGGCATGACAACATGGCGCGGTTCCCAGCGCTACTAGCCCATGGCGCTGGCCTTTGATATTTTCAATATTTAAACGAATGGCTTTCGAAACTTAATCGAATTGTGCAACTTAGCTGAACGCTTTCCATCATTAAAGTTGTTCCCCCCAGATAAGTTTCCTCGTCCAAATTTTGCGAACGCTGATGGCGTTTTGTCCGCCACATGTAAAATGCCGCGCGGCCCAAAATAGATTCCGTTACACACCCTATTGAATTTATGTACCCTTGCGCTTGACCGACTCCGACTCGATGGTTTGCAGCAGCGAAGGCACGAGGTGCGGGAAGTGACTGTGGCCAAGGCCCTTGACGAACATTCCAAGCGCCTTGGACGCGACCGTGCGGACCTCGGATATTAGCTCAAGTAGCTGCATCTGGAGGCAGGGCGCGATCGTGTCGAGGAGATACGGCGCGGGGTCCTTGGCGTTGTTGACCATCGCGCACATGCTGCCGGCAAAAATCTTCTTCGTCTCGGAGATGCGGGCCGTCAAGACGTGCTTCAGCGCGGATATGACGAGCGCAAGCGACGGAACATCGATGGAGTGCCCCACCTTCATCGACTGCAGCGCCAGCATGGCGTCTGCCGTCTTGCGGTTCGGTCTGCTTGGTACGCCACGCCGGATCGTCGACTGCGCGCAAGACGGAAGTTGAAATGAGCTTGCCACCGTGCGCCGAGATGTTACGCTTGAAGTCCTTGAACGTGCCGCCGCCGGCCTCGCGCACGGCCGCGCTCGTAGTCTCGATGCTGACTGTCGTGTGCAAGCAGCAGGACGTAATGCGTGAGGTGCTCGAGGTTGTATCTATCACGCTCCATGCCGCAAGATGACGTGCGCTCTTCGAACGCAACGCGGCGCGAGTACAGCGCCTACAATGCGGTGTGACTTGTCGCCGAGTTGACCATCTTGAAATTTGCACTGGGTTTTGGTATCCGGAAGATGTCCGGATATATCGATGCAACGAGTTCGATGCCATCGTCCGCACAGGCGCGACGTTGTCGCTGTCGGTGTTCGTCTCGGCGCATCGACTATATTTCTCACAGCGCGCTAGTGTGAAATCAATGGTCTTTCTACCGCTACGGCGCCGATAACGGTGACCAGAGCTGCATCGACGCCAGCAGCCACGACCCGACACTGGGGTGACACCTCCGCGAGACTCTCGCGCCTGTGTACGCTGTACACCTGCGCCAAGCGACCTGCGTCAAGGTATACGCGCCGACGCTCAATGGCTGCGACGCTGCTTAAAATGGTGCTGGTGCCACCAATCGTGCTTGGCGAGGCATCAGTCCTCGACAAGAAGCATCTGCACGCTGCATGAGGACGCAGTGATTTTTGCAAGCGCTTGTCTGGTGAACCTATGTACTTATTGATAGGGATGCGTGACGAAAGAAGGTCCTCAGGAAGGACCTCGGCCACACAAGTTTCACCGTCCACAGTGCACAGGACGCCCGCTTGCGACCACCCTGCCGTGCGACGCGGTGCCATGCGAACGAGGCACTGGAGCACAAATTGCAGATTGAGCACCGCCCAAAGGTTTCCCAAGTGTCGCGTAGAAGCACTACGTTTCGCCTGTGTCGGGCTTGTTTTTACACTTGTTTTTACACGACTGAACGTTTGTGCGGAAATGGGACCTTCTCCGAGTGCCACATCATAGAAATCGGGTCAACTTGTGAATACCTCATCTCGGGTATACGAGGGCGCATTATAGCCTGGTACTTGCGAAAGAGGAGCCCACGTCCGACCATTGCGACTCGTCCCAATCCCTCCACAGGATATGACGGCTTTGGAAGCATTTGCTTTGGGCGTAGTAACTCCAAGAATGTTGCTATGAGTCGCATTCTTGATCGCGTGGAAGGGGGGAGATCGTCGCTAATACAAATGTAGTAGGCGAACCGCGTACCAACGTGGTCATTTGCTTCTTAACGTTTTTAGAGCGCTTTCTATCTTTGGTCAAGCATTGCGCGCGTTGTAGGGCGGCAGCGGCAACGAGGTGTGGCTTGCTCTGCTCCTCAAAGTAGTCTCTATCATTGTGCAAATTATGGGCGATTCCATTTCAAACGCGATACTACCAACAAGTGGCGTCGCGCCCTGGCGTGGTGCCACCAAGATGGCACTACGATCTTATCTCTGGCATTGACCTTAAATGCATACTAGTATATCTTGAATCGCACATCCCATCCTATCACGGAAAGGTCGCCACTGAGAAAGATCGGTTCCATGACAGATCGTGACTGGGTGTCCTCCTCCGCCTCGATGCATTGATGCGCATTCAGTTTTGCTTTCTCCGTGTCTCCATCGCATCATGGTCAAGTTTGTCGTCACCGCGCTCGCGCTCGTCGCTAGCACTTTTGCGGCCGCTGCTGCCGTCGACACGCCGGCAATCGCCAAACTGAGCCCCGAGGCAGACCAGACACCACAAAACCTCCGCGAGGGTGGCCAGAAGGAGTGCTTTGGCTCGATCTGTGGTGGCGGTGGCTTTGGCTGGGGTCTTGGTGGCGGCTGCGGTCTCTTTTCGCCGTTCCGTTGCGGCGGGTGGTTCTAAACGCCACGTTTCTGTCCAGCAATGGACTATTGACGAATAACCGTCTATCAAATCAATGGTTTCCCCCGATCTTTGAGCTAGCACGATCTTGATGACAACTTTTCGGTTCTCGCAAAACGCCCTCGAAACGCGTCGGACTGAAGCCTGACTCCGGAGCTCTTCGTGCACAGCTCAGCTCATGTTAGTTATCAAGGGTTGTTCGTTGTGTTGTTGCTGCAGCGTGATGTACAATGTAGTCCAGCCAAGGTGCATTTGCCGATGGACAGCTCTCCTTCGGCAGAGACGGATCTGATTGGCCAATCGAATTCTCGAAGCTGCGAGCGAAGTTCGAAGATGCGAGTTAAAGTGCAGGACGTGCTCGGTATTTCCCAAATCGGCCGCTCATGGCCAAGAAGCAGCCGGCGCACACGTGGCCCATGAGCCTCCGCGTGCTCTTCCCCGCGTGCATCCTCCTCATCTTCTTGGTCAACATGACCCTCTTCCGCGCGCCTGACAGCACCGAGGCAGGCCCGCGCCTCAAGAAGCCAGCGTTCGTGCAGCGGGCGCCGACCACAGACGCAACCTGCTGGTTTGACGACCCCAAGACGCAGCGCGTGCCCACGGACGACCTCGAGCACCTCAGCCTTCTGCACGCTGCGTGCACGACCGAGTCGGACGACATCATTACCTGGCAGTATGGCACGAACGCGACCACGACACCGTACCCGACGCGGCTGCGGCGCGACGACCCGCGCGTGCTTGACGAGCTCCGGCGCTGCCCCGACTATGATGTGTTTCTCCCGAGCGGCCTCCGTGGCTCGGGCTACTGCGAGGACGGCTGCGCCTACGCCAAGTGTACGTGCGCTCATCCCTGCTAGCTGCTGATGGTTTGCTAGACGGTCAATCGCGCTTGCTGCCCATCTGGGCGTTCGAAGACGAGTACTTGGACCCGCAGACCAACCGCAAGGTCAAGTACTTCGACTTGTGCCCGCGCACGCCAGTCATCTTCTTCAACCACTACTGGCCGCCGTGGGAGTGGCCCAAGCACAAGCCCATCTACCTCATGCCCAACATTGAGATGGGCGAACTGAAGTCGCCGCAGTACTGGAGCGCCGGCGTCGTCATCTGCAAGTCGCGCGACTGCTATCAGCGCGTGACCAAGTGGTACGAGCAAGAGGGCAACCCGAATGGTGCTGCCGTCTTCTACACCCGGCACACGACCGCCGACATTGCAGGCCACATTTCGCGCAAGCTCGGCCCTGGCGGCGTCAAGCCCAAGGACTACCGCGACAAGGTTCGGTTCACGCACTCGGCCGGCGGCAGCGTCAGCAAGGGCACGGACCAGGTCATCCAGTGCTGGCTGTCGCGACCGGACCTGCCGCCGCTCGACCTCTCGATGAGCCAGAGTCTCTACGATATGGGCTACGGCGACAAGTACGCCGAGAGAATCGCAGCCGCCAAGAACATCAACTTTCAACACAGCGCGATCAACGAAGAGACGTTTGGGAAGCGACTCGCCGAGACCTCTTTCTTCCTCTGCGCAAGTCGGTGGGAAGGCTACGGCCACTACATCAACCAGGCGCGCGCGGCCGGCGGCGTCATCATCACAACCGATGCGCCGCCGATGAACGAGCTCATCGTCGCGCCCGAGAGCGGTGTGTACGTCAAGACGGTCGTGCACCACCACCCGCACCAGATCCTGGGCGGCGGCTTTGAAGGCGAGCACGGGCTCCGCGACGTCGGCGGCCTCCAAGCCGACTACTCGTCCGGCGATCTCTGCGACGCAGTGGACCACGTGCTGAGCCTGTCGGGCGGCGAGCGCGAGCGCATGGCCAAGGCGGCGCAGCAGCAGTTCCACGACGACACCAAGTTCTTTGCGGCGTCCATGCGCGACCTCCGAGCGTTTGCGCGCGCTCAGCTGCGCTCCAACATGACGGCCGCCGAGGTCGCGGCCGGCAACTGGCAAGACACGGCGGTCCGGGACGTGCCGTGCATATAAGCTGCGCCACCAATAGCATAGCTCACTCATTACATATCGTTATACAAGTGTAATGTTGAAAGACTAGTTGTCAGCGATCGCCGGACGACCGCCATGCGTGTCAATGGACTGGAAAACCTCTGAAATGCAATGTCGTCGCCGGGTCTTTCGGTCGCCTCTTGCGGTTTGTAAGGCACCCCGACCAAGCCGTAGAAAGTATCAAGTTTGAGAGATAGAAACCAGATCTTAGATTGCACTATGCAAGAAGCGACGACGATGCGGTTCGGTGCGGTTGCAAGCGCGCTGGGCCTGGCCAGCGCCACGGACCTGCCCTCTTGCGGCGGGTGGCAGCCCACGGGCCCGATCGGCGGCCACTACAACACGAGCGCGGGTGTGTCGACGGAGAAGCTCAACGTGCACCTCGTGCCCCACACGCACGACGACCCGGGCTGGCTGTACACCGTCGACGAGTACTTTTCGCAGAACGTCGACTACATCCTCGATACGGTCGTCACCGAGCTGCTCAAGAACCCGGACCGGCGCTTCATGTACGTGGAGCAGTCGTTCTTCCAGCGCTGGTACACACGTCTTCCCATCGCCAATACCCCTGCCCATGACGTGGGAACTAGGTGGCGCGAGCAGTCGCACGAGATGAAGACGATCGTCAAGAAACTCGTGAAAGAAGGGCGCTTGGACTTGTCAGTCAACGGCGGCTGGGTCATGCACGACGAGGCGGCGGCCCACTACTCGGTCATGATCGACCAGACCGCGCTCGGCCACGGCTTCTTGGTCCACGAGTTTGGGTATGCTTCCTGTCGTGATTGCATCTAAATGTCAAGCTCCTGCAACTAGCGTCAAGCCGCGCATCGGGTGGCAGATCGATCCGTTTGGCCACTCGTCGACGCAAGGCTCGCTCCTCTCGGCCGGCGTCAACTTTGACGCGCTCTACTTTGCGCGCATCGACTACCAAGACTACGAGAAGCGCAAGGCGACCAAGGACTTTGGTACATATATATATATATGGACGATTGTTGGACGACGGCGGCGTAGAGTTCATGTGGCAGCCGTCGCCGTCGCGCGGTGAACAGGTCTTTACGGGCGTGATCCAGGACGGATACGGGTCGCCGCACGAGTTTTCTTTGACGACTGCGCGCCGATCAAGGACGACCCGGACCTCCACGACTTTAACGTGTGCGACAAGGTCCAGTACTTTGTCGAAAAGAGCCTCGAGCGCGCCAAGCACACCAAAGGTATTAGCACGGTAGTACGTTGGTGAGAAACTGTGGATGCAGGCAACCATATCTTTTGGCCCATGGGCATGGACTTTTCGTACCAGAACAGCCTCAAGTGGTTCAAGAATATGGACAAGCTCATCCACTACGCCAACCAGGACGGCCGCGTCAACGCCTTTTACTCGACCATTGGCCACTACACGGACCTCAAGCTCGCCGACAAGTCGCTGCAGTGGACGACCAAGACGGACGACTTCTTCCCGTACGCCGACCAGACGTACGCCTACTGGTACGACGCCGCCTCTTCCCATGTGCCATCTCAGAGATGGCGTAGGACGGGCTACTTTACGAGTCGTCCGGGCCTCAAGCGCTTTGCCCGCGTCGCCAACGGCATCCTCCAGACGATGCGCCAGCTCGAAGTGCACGCGACGACGTCGTCCAAGGTAGTCACACATAGTACCCATTTTTTCTGCTCATCGATGAAGGTAGCTGTTGCACTTGACGGCGAGCGTCGGGCTGGTGCAGCACCACGACGGTATCAGCGGCACGGAGAAGCAGCACGTCTCGAACGACTACGCCCAGCGGCTCTCGGAAGGCCTCGCGTCCGCCGAGACGCAGCTCAATCATCTCCTCGGCGCTTCGGAATCGCCTTTTGCAACCTGTCTCTTGGCCAACGTGAGCCTCTGCGAACCTTCGACGTCGGCCTCCGAGACGTTCGAGGTCGTCGTGTACAACCCGCTGCCGTTCGCGCGTACGTTTGGCGTCTCGCTGCCGATCGATACGCCGGGCGCAGACGTTGCGCTGGCGGCAACCAACGCGCACGTTCCGTCGGCGGTCGTGCCCTACGTGCCCGTGCATTTGGACGCCAAGGCCGCACCGCACACGCTGCTCTTGCAGGCCGACGTGCCGGCGCTGAGCCTTCAGCGCTTCCGCGTGACCAAGACCAAGCCGGCGGCGACGTCGACGGCGGCCGACATCTCGATCCTCGAGAACGACCACATCAAGGCCACGTTGGACGTGACCAAGGGTAGTCTGGCGAGTCTTTTGGACAAGGCGACCCAGACGCAGGTGCGTATGTCGACCAGATTTGGCTACTACCAGTCGTACTGGAACGGCAACGACGTCAACTCGGGCGCGTACATCTTCCGCCCCAACACGAGCACGCTCCATGACTTTCCTTCCGTCTCGAGTCATGGCTGTGACGTGGTGCCACTGCGCCAGTCGTGCTGGTTCCGCTTTGGCAGCATGGGCGTCCTCAGCTACCAGCTCCGTCCGTGGGACACGTCGCTCGTGGTCGAGTGGACGGTACCGCCTTCGATCGCTGCTGTCAAGGAGGCTCACGGTGTCATCTCAGGTGGGTCCGATCCCGATCGACGACCACCAAGGCAAGGAAGTGATTCTGCGCTTCGACTCGAACGTGGCCTCGAACGTAAGGACGCGCATCTTGAGAGTACCATCCCACCAACCTGTCGGCTAGAAACGCTGGTACACGGACTCGAACGGGCTCGAGTACATCGAGCGTGTGCGCGACTTTCGCGAAACGTGGAACCTCACGCTGCACAACGACGAGGAGCATGTGGCTGCCAACTACGTGCCCATCACGACCGGCGCCTACCTCCGTGACGACAAAGTGCAGCTCAACGTCCTCACGGACCGTGCCCAGGGCTGCGCGAGTCTCAAAGATGGTAGAAATCTCATTGACCTCACGGCTCATGAACTACTGTTTTTAGGGCAATTGGACGTGATGGTGCACCGCCGCGTGCTCGGCGACGACCACCGCGGCGTCGACGAGGCGCTCAACGAGACGGAAACGGTACGACGCAAGACGAGGATCTACGACAAGCGTGTGCGATAGATCCAACTGGCCAACAACCAGCCGCGCATCCAAGGCCTCACGGTCCGCGGTCAGTTTTATCTGAGCGTTGGACCGCATGAAGCGGCGATCGAACGTCTGCGCACGACGACGTACGCGCAGTTCGTCCCGCCGCTCGTAGCCCTCCGCGCCGGCTCGGGTGGCTTTGTCGAGATGAAGCCGGTCGGCGACCTCAAGTGGCCGGCCAACATTGGTCTCACGGCGCTCCACTGGGCGCACCCGCACTGCCGCCTCGTGCGTCTGAGCCACCTCTTTGCCATTCACGAGCACTCGGTACGTTCGGAACTTAGCATAGCATCGTAGAGCTGAGTGTTTTAACTGTAGGAGTGGTCCAAGCCGGCGTCTGTGGACCTGACGCAGCTCGTGCCTGGCGCAGAGCACGTCGTGGTCAAGGAGCTCACGCTCTCGGCGAACGCGGTCAAGGGCCCGTCGCCGACGACCGTGACGCTCCAACCCATGGAGGTCAAGTCGTTTGAGCTCTGCGCGCAGGACAAGCGCGCCCCGGTGTACGACGAGGCCCTGTGGCCGCTCGCCGACGAATTGGACTTTTGATACAACGCTGGACACGCTTGGATATGCGTTCCGGCTAACCGAATCATTCTCCCGGTTAGCTACAATTCTAACCGACAATGAGGAGAACCCCAACTGTTGAACGTATCAACCGAACGATGTCGATTCCAAGAGAGAAATGCGTGTCATGGACACTCGCGTGCGAGTAACACCTTGTCTTTGGTGGGGTCGTGGGGGAGAGGTGGGTGCAGCAAAATTTTGGTGCAGCACGGGGGCTATCCTATACTAGTACGGTAGGACCCTTAATCCAAAAAAATCCGATAAGACTCACGTTAACAACAACGGGGGCTCTCCGAGTGCTCCGTGGAGGGGCGCCATCGTGTGAATGGAGCAGATTACTTATATAACGTTATACTTGACTTGTTGTCGAAGCGAGATGGCGCGATTGGATGCGGTGTCCAACGCTTGATGTCCTTCTAGCAGCCCTCAAATGTTGTATACTCTAAAACTCAATACGAATCAAAAATGTATATCAACCGTGCTGATTGGTCAATAATGGTATAGCATCCGCAGTTTAAGGCCAGAGAACCTCGACACGGTGCTATTTCTACCAATCAAACGGGCGCGCATGGCCTCTTGAAACTTTATACCTCAAGCTGAATTGCAACTCAACGCGGCCGCAATTTCTCGCGTTGCGTTGGATTCGAGTTTTGGCCTCCATGCGCGACCATCCGAAGCGGACGCAGCGCCTGCATGGCCTGCGTGGCCTCTACCCCGTGGGCATCCTCGCCATCTTCTTCGTCAACGTCTACTACTTTGGCGTTGGCAGCTCGGACAAGGCGCGCTTCAAGCACCTGCAGGTCGACGACGGAGGGCCCTTCCTGCCTGCTGTCAACGAGCCGTCGACGTGCTGGTTTGACGCCCCCAAGACGCAGCGCGTGCCCACGGACGACCTCGAGCACCTCAGCCTCTTGCATGCGGCGTGCACGAGCGGCACGGACGACATCATCACGTGGCACTACGGCTCGAACGCCACCAAGGCACCGTACCCGACGCGCTTGAACCGCGATGACCCGGGCGTGCTCGACGAGCTCCGTCGCTGCCCCGACTTTGACATCTACCTGCCTTCCGGTCTTCGCGGGTCGGGCTACTGCGAAGACGGCTGCGCCTACACCAAGTGTACGTCCCCTCTGGTATCGACGCTCCATGTGCTCATGCGCAGTGTAGACGGCCGGTCGCGCCTGCTGCCGCAGTGGGCGCTTGAAGACGAGTTCTTTGACGCGCAGCGCAACCGCAAAGTGACGTACCACGACCTGTGCCCGCGCACGCCAATCACTTTTTTAACCACTACTGGACGCCGTGGGAGTGGCCCAAGCACAAGCCCATCTACCTCATGCCCAACATCGAGATGGGCCAGCTCAAGTCGCCCGAGTACTGGAGCGTCGACGTCGTCATCTGCAAGACGCGCGACTGCTACCGCCGCGTCACCGCGTGGTACAAGCAAGAGGGCAACCCGCGCGGCGCGACCGTCTTCTACACCCGGCACACCACGGCCGACATTGCAGGCCACATTGCTCGCAAGCTCGGCCCTGGCGGCGTCAAGCCCAAGGACTACCGCAACAAGGTTCGGTTCACGCACACCGCGGGCGGCAGCGTCAGCAAGGGCACGGGCCAAGTCATCGAGTGCTGGCTGTCGCGCCCGGACCTGCCGCCGCTCGACCTCTCGATGAGCCCGGGCCTGTACGACTTGGGCTACGGTGAAAAGTACGCCGACAAGATCGCAGCCGCCAGGAACATCAACTTCAAGCACAACGCGATCGACGAGGAGGCGTTTGGGAAGCTCTTGGCAGAGACCTCTTTCTTCCTCTGCGCAAGCACGTGGGAGGGATATGGCCACTACATCAACCAGGCGCGCGCGGCCGGCGGCGTCATCATCACCACGGACGGCCCGCCGATGAACGAGCTCATCGTCGCGCCCGAGAGCGGTGTGTACGTCAAGACGGTCGTGCACCACCACCCGCACCAGATCATGGGCGGCGGCTTCGAAGGCGAGCACGGGCTCAAGGGTGGTTTTGGCGGCCTCCAAGCCGACTACTCGTCCGGCGATCTCTGCGACGCCGTCGACCACGTGCTGAGCTTGACGGGCGGACAGCGCGAGCGCATGGCCAAGGCGGCGCAGCAGCAGTTCCATGACGACACCAAGTTCTTTGCGGCGTCCATGCGCAACCTCCAAGCCTTTGCCCGCGCACACCTGCATTCCAACATGACGGCCGCCGAGGTCGCAGCGAGCGACTGGCACGCGACCGCCGTCCGCGACTTTCCCTGCTAATAGAGTATCCCATTTCCTGTGGCTTCAAAGCCAACGACCCGCCACTTGTTTTGTGTTCCGCTATGCAAGTATCAACTTGATACTTTGTTGGAAGATATCGCGTATTTTGTCCTGGGACGTAGTAGATCGGTTGGCAGTTGCGATCTTTTGAACCGTCGCCCGCATGCCGACGGACGTCGACATCAAGCGCCATCGCAAGTGGACCAAGCAGCTGCGCGAGGCTGTGCAGGCCGACGGCTGGGGCCAAGTCCTCGAGGCCGTCGAAGCCTACGAGCAGTGCGTCGCCGAAATTCCATTTCGCTTGGATCATGGCGGCTAGGACATCGATCCGGATCATGGACGAGCTGCCCGAGATGGACCTTTCGCCCGAGCAGCAAGACCTCATCGAGAAGGTCGTCGTGACCATCAACCTGCGCACCAACTGCCTGAGCTCGCTCGACGGCCACGGCAATCGACCGACCAAAGACGAAATGGCCGAAATCGCCGACGGTATCCCGATCATTTGCATTGAGGTGCAACGGCATTCCACTAGTTCTCGAGTCGGCCCTCCAGCGCACGCCGCGTGTCTTTCCGATCGACCTCGCCGACTTGGAGCCGCCGCCCAGTCCAGAGAAGGCCGCCACACCACCCTCACTGCGGTACGGCCATGTCTAAAGACTTGGTTCTCCCATCCTACGTAGCGGTGCTGACGTGGCCGCCAAGGACAAGAGCGGGGGCGGGCGGCTTGAGATTCACATTGAGAAGATCGGTCTCAAGGACGTGGCCCGCTACGTCGACCCGCAGATCCTCGTGTCGGTCTACAGTACGCTCGCCACTCGCACTGTGCAGCAGCGTTGACAGCAAGGCGTAGGCGACGACGCGGGGTACCTCGAGCCCAAGGTCGAGTTGCCGGCGTCCAGCGCGCTCGACCCGCCGTACATTTCTTTTGAGCACACGATTTCGCTGCAAACGCCGCTGGAATCGCTCCGCCGCCGTACGTGCTGCCACGTCATGGCCCTCTTTTCTTATTGGAAATTGCAGAGAACGGCGCCGTCTTCTTCGAGCTGCTGCACTACAAAAAAGCCAAGCGCAAAAAGAGCGTGCGTTGCTGGGCCATGCTCGAGATGGACGAGGTGCGCGAAGCTGGGCCGCTCATCCTGGAGCTCTACGCCAAGCCCTGCGACGTGCACCGCAAGGCGGTCCACCTCCTCACCGAGAAGCCGCTCTACTTGCACGTGACGCTGCGCCTGCCCTAAGGTCTTCTCGAGCTCGTACAAAAAATGCACGAGTACGCGAAAAGGATGTTGTTATATTTGGGGTGTTTACCGAATGCAGTCGGCGACCGTGCGGGAGACGAGCTCGTCCTCGGAGCGCACGCCCATCTGCAGCAGCATTTGGCCGTCACCCTCCTCGAGGCTGAGGCGGCACTTGACGAGCACCTTGACGCCGCCGACAAAGACGCCCGAGAGAATGAGAACGTGCGACTTGGCCTTGGGCGCCGGCACGCTCGAGTTGTCGCAGGCAAACATGCCGAGGTACTCGATGACCGCGCCGACACTACTCGTCCAGATCCATCAGATATCTCAGATATATCAGAAACGAGGCGTACCCTTCGACAAGCGACTGGAAACGAAGCGCGTACTGCTCGCGGACTTCGTGCTCGTCGCCGATGTGCTCCCAGGCCGACCGGAAGTCGGGCACTTGGACCTTGGCCATAAAGTCCGCGGCCGAGAGCTCGAGGTCCTCCATCGGGTACTCCTCGTTGTAGCCCATGTCGCCGTCCGGGATCTTGCCGTTGGTCAGTTCGATGACGCGGAACTTGAGTTCGTTGGCCACCGCGACAAGCGGGTACTCTGCGTCCTCGAGGTGGGCGAGGCACACGTAGCATGAGCCCTTCTCGCCGTACGGCAGCTGCGGCAAGGGCACGACCGAGTGCACCTCGTACACGTCCTCGAGCATGAGCTCAAAGTTGACCGACACGTCGCGCAGCACTTGGTCGGGCACCGTGTTGAGCACTTGGTACTCGAGCACGAGGTGCGACTTGAAGACGTGCTTGACGCACGACACCACGTACTCGGTCTCAGCTTCCGTGAGCTCGATCGGGCTCGACGACCGGAAGAGCGGGCCGAGATCCGCAAACGCAGGGATCTTGTAGAGCTCCTTCGCCGGGTCCACCACGGCTTCTTTCGCAGCGACCACCGGCGTCTTGGCCGACGTCACGCGCGGCGCGTCGGCCTGCACGAACGGGAGTGCGTCGAGCGTGACGCGGCCGGCGCTCGGGCGCAGCGCGTACTGCTCGAGCGACTTTTGCAGCTGGTGCACGCCCATGGGGAGGTCGTTCTCAATGAAGTGGCTGCTGCCGGTCGTCGTGAGGTGCAGGTACATTGTCGCGCGGTCGCGGACCTCGTCGTCGTCGTCCAGCATGCAGCGTGCGAGGAGCGACCGGATGCTGGGCGCGAGCGCAGGCACGCGGATCGCAAAGGACGTGAGCGCCGAGACGGCGGAAGCGCGGATCGTGGCGTTCTCGAGGATGATGCGGTTGTAGATGAACCGAATGTAGCGCGACGGCGACGACGTTGTCGGGCCCTTTTGCCCGAGAACGTGCAGGATCTTGCAGCTCAAGAGCGTAAACTCGCAGTCCTCGATGAACTCGCAGAGGTGCAAGAGCGCAACCTCCTTCGCTTCCGGCAAGACGTCAATGATGTCGAGCATGGCGTCGGTGATGGTCTTCTTGAACTCGAACCCGCCCTCGTCGCGGAGGAAGGTGGCGAGCGCGTTCAGCAGCATGCGGTGCTTCTGGGGGTACTTGACGCAGAGGTTCCGGATGGCGTCGACGACGACGATCTTGAACTCGTCGGCGATCTCGCTCATGAACGCGTTGATCTGCTTCATGAGCCGGTCCACGCTCGACTCGGCGCCCGTCTTGAGCAAGGTCGTGATCGCCAGCGTCGCGATCGACCGGTTCGAGTCGCCGATGAGCGTCTCGAGGTCTTCGTTGCACTTGGTCACGAGCATGGGCTGCGTGAGCGCGACGAGGCTCAGCGTACGCACGGCCGCAAAGCGAAGCGTCGGGCGCACCGACCCCAATAGGATTTGCAGCACCTACATCCGCATCGCAGGCAAGCGACATGGCATGCATGCATACCGTGATGGCGGGCTGGAGGTCGCGCGCGTCGAGCGGAAGCACGCAGATGGCGCGGGCGGCTTCGTAGAGCACCATCTAGACAACGACGGGTTGCAGCATGCACAGGATGTATATATGTCTACCTCGCTCTTGTGCCGCAGCATCTTTTCGAGAAACTGGTACAGCGGACGCGCGTTCGGGCCCGTGAGGTCGTCCGCGAGGAGCGAGGCCGAGTACCGGATGAGGAGGCAGCACGCCAGGTTGGATTTGAGGCTCGTCTTCTGGAGCTGCGTGATGAGCTTCGAGACGGCGAGCTTGTCGTGTTGGCGGATCTAGACACGCTCGCTCCATACATCGCGCAGGCGGTGACAAGAAGGTACCTGGTAGAGCAGCGCGAGGGCATGGTATTGCACCATGTCGACGGGCGAGTTGAGCGCCTCCTGCACTTCGTTGACCCAGCGGCGCACAACGTCCGGCGAGTTGCGCATAAGGTGCATGCCCGAGACGAGGGCCGACGACGACACGAGCGGGTTCTTGTCGACGATCGCCTGCTTGATGTAGCGCTCGATGGCAGCGAGCATCGACGTGTCGATGATGCGGCACAGGACGCGGATCGCGTTCGCACGGTAGAGATCCGTGTCGCAGTTCATGTCCTTCGTGAGACTCTGCGTGACAATGATGACCTCATCGGCCGCCGTCGCGTCCGCGACCTCCTTGATGAAGAGGTACATCATGCGGCGGAGGTTGGCGTCCTTGCCCTGGAAGAGCTTGGTGACCTTGAAGAAGACGTCCGTGCTCTCCGTGCTCGTGAACGGCTCGCCCTGCGTCAAGATGTGCAGGAGCTTCGTGATGAGCTGGCAGCACTTGCGCGGCTGCTTCATGACCATGGCCGCGTCCGAAAAGATCTTGGTCTCGTGCAGCACCGTGGCCTTGTCGAGGTTCTGGAAGGGCGAGACGTTGGCCTCATCATCTTCGTTCTTGAACTTCTCCTTGATGTCCCGCATGACGCTCGAGATCGTCATACTCGCCAGCGTCGGCGACTGCGGCTCGGCCATGCTTGCTGCAGTCAGTCTCCAAATGGGCTGCCAACACCGGACGTTCGCGTTAAGTCACGCAGCGCTCAAGATACGACGTACTTAATACAAATAGAGAGTTAAACACAATATTGTACTAAGTGCGTTTTGTGGTAAGTGTTTCAGCCAATGGCATCGCGCCAACACATGGACAGAGATCCGCGGGCTGCCACGAGGTCGCTCTCGCCTCCGTGAGCTGCCTCCATGTAGAGCAGTGCAGGACGCAGGCCCCATCGTCTCCGAGCCGCGAACCGTTAGCATGTCGGCCAAGCGCGTTATCTACAGTGTTAACAGGCTCGGCGCTTCCGTGGGCGGGTCGTCAGCAGTCTCGGGCTCGGGGCTGGCTGCTGGCTTTGGCGACTTGGCCTTGGCGGGCTGCTTGGCATGGAGGGCGCGCCGCTACGACATGCATCATGCATGAGCGACGCATTATCACGCGATGGGCTACGTGTCGTAGCCGAGGACGCGCGGGTCGGGCGACGTCATCATCGCTTTCCAGAGCGCTTTCGCCGGCGCGTGGCCGTTTTTGGAGGGGACGCAGCTGAGGAGAAGGCTCGTGTTGGGCGGCACCTTCATCGCCAGCGTGCTACGCACGTGTCCAGCTCTACTATGCGGTAGGCAGGTCGTCGTACTCGAGGTTGGTCTGGACGTCGGTCCGCTGCGGCACGTAGCCGCCCCGTGCGTTGAACGTTCTCGACTGGAACGAGTCGAGCGCCTGCGGGGTGTAGTCGCCCGGCCCCGTCGGTGTCGATGCCGCTAACGCCGATGTAGATGGAGAGCGTATACGACGTGAGGTACCATGGCCGGCCGCAATGAGCGACGAGAGGAGGTCGGGGTTCTTGGCCGTTCCAAAGGTGCCCCGCTTGTTGCTGCGCTTGGCGGAAAAGGCAGTCGTGTCGTAGGAGCCCGGGCCCGACTGCTTGATGTCCACGGGGCTGGGCACGCGGCCGCGATGAGGCGAATTGATCGCCGACGCCGAGAGCGCATGGTGGAGGCGCTATAACAAGTCGGTCAGGGGCTTCCTCTCGGTGCCAGCGCACCTCGAACGAGCGCTCGAACTCCTTGTACGAGGGCTGGAGCGACGCCGACGCTTCCTTCAAGAGCGCATCGTTCCTCGCCCGCGCTTTCTATGCACGCGGGTGTCAGTGCCTCGACGCGGTGTCGGTGGCTACAGAGAGCAGCGCGCGGCGGTCGTGCTTTTGGTCATGGACCGACGACGCCAGCGACTCGTTCGTCGGCAAGTACTTTGGCCCCGGGCTTGCGCTCACCCAGCCGCGCTGCGTGGCAAAGCCGAGCACGTCCAGTCGCTTCTCCTTGGAAAAGCTGCACGGCGCCGAGACGCGCGTCGGGTTGGTCTATACGATCGTGGGCTACCATCCTCGCCGCATCCATATCCAATGTACGTCGCGCTCCACGTTGTACGAGCCCGGGCCGGCGCCGACGCGGACGTCCACGCGCTTGGTCCGCGGCTGCCGCGTCTTGAACTTGTTGTGCATCGCGTGGCGCTCGGCCTCGATCGCCTTGAGCTGGGAGGTCGTCACGACGCCAGGCAGCGCCGGCATGTACTCGGACTCGAACGCTGGCTTGGGGCTCGGCGCGTCGCGCGCCGCGTGGCTAAACGTCCCATTGGAATGGCGTTGGCGCTCAAAGCTGCTGCGGAGGGTGTAGGCAAACGGGCTCTAAAGGTGATAGGGGGTAAGAACGAGTCGAGAGGGGGTTTATATCCACCGGCTCCTCCTCCTTCCCGGTGCAGAACGCGGGCCCGAACCGCTTCTCGGACGTGATCATGCGTTACGACAATTGAATATGTTTGTAGAATTTAGTTATTAGCAGTTTTGGGTTAGCACACTTTTTTGGACGGCAGGACGTCTGCGATCGACTGCGCGAACGTGATGAGGCGCTTGACGGACGTGAGGTACTTGCGCTGGAGCTCGTTGTTCATGACATGCGCTTGCTTGTTCGAGTTGATCTTCTCGCGGCCCGTGCGCTCGTGGATGCCCACCATGGTGACACCGATGGGCCACGCCGCGTTGCCGATGGCGAGCTTGATGTACGAGTCGTTGGCCGAGACAAACTCGCCGGCCTTGCAAAAGCCGACGATATCGACGAGGTTCTTGAGGATGTCGTCGGGCACCGTGTTGCTCTTGCAGAGCCGAAAGAGCGGCCGGATGTAGTCCTTGCACTGCTTCATCGTGCGCGTCGCGATCTTGCCTTGCGCCGACCGCTTGACGCTCTCGGGCCGCGCGGCCAGCGCTTCTTCCCAGCGACCGAGCATCTCTTTGAAGAAGCGGTAGATCTTGCGCTCGTCGGACTCGCTCGCGTGGTCCTTGGCCGCGTCGCCGTCGTGGTCGTACTCGTCGTCCTCCTTGTCTTCTTCGGCCTCCTGCGCGTCAATGTAGCCTGCCTGGTTGAGGTCCATTTCGCCGCCTTCGTTCGAGTGGATGAGCGCCTCCAAGCGCCGAGCGCGCGCCTCGTCGGTCTCGCCAAAGAGCGTGATCGGATGGCCCAGCTGGCGCAGGCGCTTCTTCGTCTCGGCCAGCGTGAAATGGAGCTGCCCGTCCTCCGCGCTCGTCTCGGTAGCGCGCTCCTGCACTGGGGCGGACTTTGCCTCGGTCGTCGATGCTTGCACGGCAGCCTGCGCCGCAGCGCGTTCTTCGGCCTCGCGCTTCTTGGCAGCCTCAGCCTCGACGGCTTCGCGGGCCCGGCGCTCTTCCTCTTCAAGGGCCGCTTCGATCTCGCCTCGGCGCATGTACTTCTTCTTGGCCGCTGGCTCGCCGCTGACCTTCAGCGCGGTCATCTTCTCTTCCTCGCGCTGGCGCTTGAGCTTCGCCATCATGGCCTTCATTTGGTCCATCCTGCTCGACCTTCCGCTCGATCCACGCCTCAATGCCGAATTTACCGTGAAGAGCGAATGCCGAATTCAATATTTTCTACGGCCTAATTGTATTTTAAATACTTGCACTGTATGCAATATAAATTACAAGTTATCATAAATTACTATGGATAAAAATATGCCCGTGATCCAGCAATGATTTGATCGCGATCCTCAACGGGCACGCAGCCGAGGGCCGACCGAGTGTAAAGGAGGCGTCTGCTTCTTTCCATAGCATTGAATGCATGTCTTCAAAGCGCTTGTACGGGATGTCCTTCCCGTGGGCATGACAGCGCCAAAGCAGCAGACATCGAACAAAGGCCTTGTCGTAGATTCGGCATTCGCCGCAAAGACCGGGTTGAATGCCGAAAACAAGACGGCGCTTTGAAGTTGACGTTGAAACCAATCAAAATCACAACACGATGACCGAGGACGTGCCCCTGAGCAAGACCGAGCGCCGCCGGGCGGCCCGCGCCAAGAAGAAGGCTGCGGCCGCGACCGAGAAGGAGCGCCGCATGAACAAGCGCGAAGACATGAAGCAGCGCCGGCGCGACAAGGCCATGGCGATCAAGAACAAAGACAACGAGAACGGGTGTTGGCTCTGCGGCGACCCCAACCACCGCAAGCAAGACTGCGACCAGGTACCGACGACGCTTGCGCTTCAGCAGCAGCTCATTGGGAGATGTAGACGATGAGCACGAAGAGCTGCTTCCACTGCCGCCGGAAGGGCCACGACATCCACTCGTGCCCGAAGCGCAACGGGTACCAGAACAACACGCAGCCCGCGAGCGACCTCTGCTTCAACTGCGGCGAGAACGGCCACAGCCTCTGGAAGTGCCCCAAGCCCAAGGTCGGCGACGGCACCTCGTTCGCCACGTGCTTTGTGTGCGGCGCCACGGGCCACTTGAGCTCGCGCTGCCCCATGTCCGAGAACGGTATTTACCCGCGCGGTGGCTGCTGCAAGGTCTGCAGCAGCAAGATGCATCTCGCCAAGGACTGTCCCGAGGACGGCAAGGAGAAGAAGCCCCAAAACACCAAGAAGACGTTTGCGGACGACGACGACGAAGGTGCGTCGACCGTACTTCTGCGATCAGATCTGATTGGAGACGACTATGTAGTGGCCCAAGGCAGCGGTCCGTCCGACAAGAGCGGCGACTACATGGAGGACGAAGCGCCCGAAGAGCCCGAGGCCCCCAAGCCCGCGGCCACCCACGCAAAGAAGAAGGTGGTCAAGTTTTAGCTTCCGTCGCCAACGAATAACATACAATTGCATATGAAAGACTACTTATTGACTGCATCGTTGCCATCATTGCTGCTAGCGAGAACTGCGAAAGGTAGAGTATTAGAGAAGTGGGATAAAGTTGTGCTATCCTAACCGAGACGTCGAGAGCAGGCGGCGTCTTCACTCATAAACCTGGTGGAATTCGGCATGCCAACGCAGGGTTGAGATCGACGGGCCAACATGGTTTACCATGAGCACTTGCAGGGACTGGCCGCTGTAACAGTACCCAAGGGTGTGTGACGGTAGCGAGGCATGCAGTGTCGCGGGGTGCTTCTGCCCTTGCAACGCTTGTGCAGGTCCTCGGTACCTGGGCAAAACCTCACGCCAAGCGCCACCAAATGCAGACGACGCCAATCGGTCGAGAGCTTGACAGGCCCGAGCCTCGGGTGGTCTGAAAAGCACTGAGGTAGCGCTGCCCTATACTAGTATATAGCTGGCGGGTCGAGCTTGTTCTGGCTGCTTGAGAAGCGTTGGCGGCATGTGTGCCCGGCGTCGCAGCGCTGTAGCGTGAGTGGCGCTCTTGCGCATGTCGGTCGCGCGGCCTGCCACGTATGCGGCGTCGGATTGGCTAAAATTGCTTCCGACTCAATTACTGCACAACCGAATGTGGGGCACCGAAGTCTTGGCGCAGGACGTCCTTGCCCGCGTGCACGCGCTGCATCCGACGCACCGCGGCTTCCTCCTTCTGCATGAGCCCATGGCGCCGTCGCACCCGATGGACCACGTCCTGACCTCCGTGGACGAGCTCAGCTCGGTCCTCGACGACGCCGGCCCGCTGGTCCTCGTCGTCCTGCACAGCCACGGCCTCGACCTTCCGCGCCTCGTCCAGCTCATCGCGCTCCACCAGATCGCGTTCATCTGGATCGACACGGTCTCGAACGCGCCGCTGGACTTTCCGGCGCCGCCGACGACGACGACGTACCTCCGCCTCACGCACACGTACGTGTATGCGTCCTTTGCCTGCTCGCCGTCCGTGCACCACTGGCTCTTTCGGCCGCTGGAAGACCCCGTTAACGTCTACGGCAGCCTCGTGGCGCAGGACCTCGTGCGCCACGGCCGCGGCCTTGTCTCGGTGCCGCTCCAGCTCGCGCTGGTCGTCTTGCGGCTCTTGCACTACTCGCCGTCGATCCTTCTCCAGTACCTTCCGCTGCTGGAAAAGAAGATTCTGAACCTCAACACGGCGCGACTTCGGCGCAACGTGCGCACGGAGCTCCTCCGCGTGTACAAGTGGCCGCACGTGCCGGACGCGATTTCGGCCTTTCTGAACAACGAGAGCCTCTTTGGGGCCGACGACGCCGCGCCGCTGCAGCCGTCGCTGCTCTTTGGTGACGCGCCGGCGTCGATCGACGGCCTCACGACGGTCGCCGCGTCGCCCGTGTGGTCGGCGCAGAAGGACTTTTACAAGGCCCATGGCATGGGCGCGTGGAGCTCCAACATTGTGCCTTACGGCGTCTCGAGCAGCATGTTCATCGCCGAAGCCTACGCCCGTACGCCACTTGCATCCTCCTGCCCTCATCGTCGATTGCTTTTCTTCTAGGGGTCGTGCTGCAGTTCTTCCTCGACTGCCACGGCAAAGGCAAGCTCGATGCCTCCGCCCCCATCAACGCGTTCGTTATCGAAGGCGGCAGCGGCTGCTGCAAGTTTGGCCTTGCGTTCGCACGCCACCTCCTCGGCCTCCTCGCGGGCCTGGAGTTGCACACGACGATTCGCCCGTGCATCGTCCTCACGGACCTCAGCGCCGACGTGCTCGACTCGCGCGTCGCCCACGTGGACTTTCAGAGTCTTCTCGCGGCGTTTCCGGGCCAGCTCGAGTTTGCCGTCCTGGACGTCGAAGACACTGTACCCTTTTGTCACTAGGAGAGCGAAGACTGAAATCTTCGTAGATTGCGCGGAGAGGACCGCTCTTCCTGCGTGTCGCCAACGCGCCGCTGCAGCTCGCGCCGACGACGCCGATCTTTTTCATCGGCAACTACTTTCTCGACTCGCTCCCGACCGACGTCTTCTTGGTGCGGCCGCGGCTTCGTTCTTATTGATATTTATATATGTTTCTGTATGGGTAGGTCGAACCGTCGGGGCTCTCGCCAGTGCTCACGGACGAGGCCGGCGACAGCTTTGCGCCGTCGCCGCTGCCGATTCCGGACCCGTCGACGCACTATGAGAGCGCGGCGCTCAATGCGACGCTGCTGTCCGTGCCCCGGGGCCTGCGCGTCTCGCTTCTCCTATTTCCCGTGCAGGCGTACCGCTTCTTGAGCGCAATTTTGCCACCGACCGCGCCGTTCGGGCTCCTCTTTGGCGACGCGACCGTGCACAGCTCGGATACGTTCCACCACGTGCCCGAGCTCTCGCCGCACGCCGACTGCTTTTGTTTGCCCGTCGATTTCAGCCTCCTCGAGGTCTTTTTGAGCCAGAGCTTCCCAAAGCTCACGTTCCAATCGACGCTGCAAGTGTTTGCCGACACGTTCCAAGTGTGCTACGCGACGCACTTTCCCGACGACGCCGCCAACCTGGTACTACTTGGCTTCTTGGCTTTTTGGCTTTTTTGGCTTTTTTGGCTTTTCTGGATTTTTGGATTTTCTGGATTTTCACACCTTTCTTCTAGTCGTCGCCGCTGGTGTTTGAAGCCGAATTGCAGGCGTTTGGCGCCAACGACTGCGATCTCATCATGGTCCGTCGCTGCCTGTGCGTAGAGCTGGCATCGGACGCACAATATCTCGTAGGGCACGATCCAGGACACGCCCGACGCGTTCGCTGCGCTCGAGCCGCAAATGGCGCTCCTCGCGCTCTCCAAGTGGGACTACGACTGCTTCGTTGTCTTCATGTGGCCCATGGTGCGCCAGGTCCGCGACCAGCCGGCGCTGCGCGCGTCCGTCGTACGTTCCCAACCTCGACAATAGCACGCTGATGCATGCGTCTAGGCCGAGGTGGGGCTCAAGTGCTTTGAGAACGCCTACTTGCTCAAGGACGCAGGCGTCTTCAACTTGCACCTCAACATGGCGCGCTGGCTGTACGCGATCCAGGCGTATGAAGACGCGGCCGTCCTCCTCAAGGAGCTCGTCCAGAGCCAGGATGTCCGGGTTTTATACCTCCTCGGGCTTGTCTGCTTCCACCTCAACGCGGTCGACAAGGCTCACGTGCTCTTCCGCGCCTGCTTGGACATAGGCGCCCGCGCAAAGTACCAGAAGCGCATCGCTGTCTGCGACCACATTCTGCGCACCTAAGACGAGTAAGAAAGACCGGTTATTTAGGGCTTATTATGAGAGGAGACGCAGCACGACGGGCTCGCCACCGCAGAGGGCGTCGCGCTCCTTGGCCAACTGCTCGAGCTCGTCCTGGATCTGCTGGATCTCGCCGAGGTTGTCCTGGACGCACTGGTTCAGAGCAGCGCGCTTAGACGGGCCCTTACGCGCGGGCGCCCGCGCCTTCTTCGGAGCTGGCGCCTCGGCCGGATCGACCTTGCGCTTCGGGCCGCGCTTCGCCGCCGGCTTGCCTGGGGCCATGCCAAATGGAATCTGGGCCATCCGGATAGATCAGGCATATCCGTAGTTTTGGCCGGTCCAATTTCCCGCCAAAAATAGACGGGGATGCCAGGCTTTCGGTCGTCGGCGCTCAGCGACATCATCCAGAGCAACGAAGCCGTCGACTGGACGCCCGAGACATCGCTTGAGCTTCTCCTGCACCTCTTCCCGTCGTCGGTCGTGATCCCGGAGCTTGTCGCGACGATCGAGTCGTTTGCCTTCCGACCTCATGAGAGCAACCACGAGGCCACGAGTGTCCGCGTGCCGTTCAAGGCGCTGTACGACGGAGCGCAGCAGCATGCGTCCGATCAAACGGCCGCGCTCGCAGGCGCCAAGGCCGAGCTGCAGGAGGAGATCGCGCTCAACGCTGCGCTGGACGACGAGATTACGTCGCTCGAAGCCGTGCTCACGGCGCAGAAGGCGTCCTTCAACGAGAAAGCGTGCAGAAAAGAGATTGCGCTCTTCCAGCGCCGACTGGATCTGCGCACGCAGCAGAGCACTGGTACCGATCGGCCCAGTTTCTGCAAAGGGCTCGATGACCACGTGGCGTAGCGCTCACCAAGGCGATCGACGACAAGCAGGACACACTGCTCCAGCACGAGCGCCTCGCCAAAGAAGAGAGTCAGCGCCTGCGTCACGAGGACCTCCTGTACCGCCTCCACAGCAAGAAGCTCAAGGACAACGAAGTCGTCTTGCGTCAAGTGCGTGCTGCCTCTTGTACCGCATCGATCGATGTTCTGGTGTTGCTAGAGAGGGGACTCGAAGCGGAAACTACGGAGCCCCGAGGCAACGATGGGAGAACTGAAGCAGCAAATTGCCACCTTGCAAGAGACGATTGCGACGACGGGTCCGCAGGTGCATGAACTCACGACGGAAATCTTCTCTGTGCGGGTACACCATCCGTGTCCCTCATCCATTCTGCATTGCGTTGCGACAGGCGGCGCGGGCCGAGTTGGAAGGAGACCTCGCGTCCGTGCGCGCGTCGATCGAGGAAATCCAAAACCGCGTCCTCGACTACAAGCAGGCGCACACGCCTCGCCCCGACTGGGAAAAGGTCGTCGTCGACGTCGAGCCGACGTTCAAGGCCCACAACCGCAAATGCGCCCACCAAAAAATCACGACCGAAAACCTCCTGAAACTCAAAAGCTCCGCCGACCGCGTCATGTATCTCGCCCACGCCGTGCAGGTCATTGGCTTGGCCGACGACGCCGGTACGATATCGCCTCTGAGACATATTGACCTTGAACGCATCGCTGTAGATGCGATCGATCGCGAGCGTCAGATTTTGACCAACCTCCAAACGCAGATCAAGAAGACCATTGCCATGATTCGGTACCGAGAGTAGGAAAGGTATATCGTCGGAACGACGGGCTCGTCACACTTCAGGAACTTAGTTTGATGTAATATACCTGGTGCTGGACAGTGCTTTAATCAGGCGATGGACTTGATGACTGGTCGAGATTGTGCGGTCACTTGACGCCCCGCGCCGCGCCACCGAGGACACGGCCGCTGGTCGCAAGTTTCCTAACTGGGCGGCTGAAAATGTATTCTGTAACTTGGGCTTGTCTCGATAGGTCGTTTGCAGTCCCTTGCTCAAGCACGACTCGACACCGCCACGTTCAACGTTCAACGACACCAGACAGCGCCACGTCATGACCTTCGGAATGCGATTTACGCGTCACTTGAACGTATTTTTGTAGACAAGAACGTTTGTCACTCTAATACTCGAACTTCGTAGTTCTAGGACCACCCCGGGATTTCGGCATCACCCTCATGGCCCTCAATCGTCTCCATCGGTTCCGCGCAGCCCTGCACCCGCTGCAGCGCTCGGCGCTTCCGGCCTCGTCCCGCGCAATCCTTCCGCGCATGTTCTCGTCGGACAAGAAGCCGCCCGTCGCGTCTGATGATCTGCTCTTGAAGCTGCTCAACCCCGCCAGCGCGGTACACCCCACGCATCGTCGGGCGCTCGCTCACGCTGGCGTAGAAAAGCAACGCGACGCTCCTCGACGCGTGCGCCAACGGCTACGAGGACGTCGTTGCGTCGCTCGTGCACAAGCCCGGCATCGACATCAACGGCCGAAGCGAGGTGCGACTGTACATGCATGCGAGGCGTGAACCGAGTTGTCGTAGGACTCGACGACGCCGCTCGTCAAGGCGTGCATCAACGCTGACAACCGCATCGTGCAGATCCTTCTGAAGCACCCCGAGATCGACGTCAACCTCGCGACCAAGGTTATATTCGATGCTATGCGACGGTGGTGCGACGCATCAAATGCATCGTAGGAAGGCATCACGCCGCTCATGATGGCAGTCAAGTGCGGCCACTACGACACCGTGACGACGTTGCTCCAGCACCCTGCGCTGGACATCAACCTCGAAAACCAAGTACCGATATATCTCGACGTCTCGACCGTCTTCACGGCTACCTGTAGCTGGGGTCGACGGCGCTGCACCTGGCGTGCCACGAAGGCGATATGGCCATGACGGAGCTGCTCCTCGTGCACCCCAAGGTCAATGTCAACGCCAAGGACAAGGTACTTCACGAGAAACCTGCTCCAAAATAGGATGTCATCTTGTCTAGGACGGCTACTCGGTCCTGCTCTACGCGTGCTTGCAGGAGCATGCGAACGTGATGGAGTTCCTCCTCAAGCACCCCAAGATCGACGTCAACGTCGAGGTACTCGGCATAGGATGCCTCTGTTCATCGACGCGTAGATGACGGCGGGCGTCACGGCGCTCATCCTCGCGGCGGCGCGTGGCCAGTACTTTGTCGTCGACCGCCTCCTCAAGCACCCGTCCATCGATGTCAGCGTATGCCCGTTGGGTTGTCTCTACGGCATGTATCTCGACAGGATATATAGAGCGGCGTCGCAGTCGAAGTCGCCATGACCAAGGGCTTTCACGACATTGTGCAGCTGTTCCTGGACCACGATAGTTGGGATGTCAACATGGCCCTCGACGTGCGACGCGTCATCCGACTTTTTGCGCTTATGGGAAATGCGTAGGAGTCGGGGCATGCGCTGCTGCACATGGCGGCGCATGAAGGCAATGCGACGATCGTAGAAAAAGTGCTGGCGCACTCGCGGGTGGAACCCAACCAACCGTCCTTCGTACGTCGTTGCTACCGCGTGCAATACGTCGTGCCAACGGAGTCTGTAGGATGGCACGACGCCGCTCATGGTGGCGTGCTTTGCCGAGAAGGACGCGATCGTGACGCAGCTGCTCGCTGACGCCCGCGTCAACGTCAACGCCAAGCGCGACGTATTCGATCTGCTGTCTATGAGGTTGTCTTATGCGCTGGCCGTAGGACGGTGCGACGGCCTTGATCGCGGCCGTCAACATGGAAAACGTCCATCTTGTCAAGGCCCTCTTGGCGCACGGCCAAACGAACGTCAACCTCGAGATGCAGGTACACACCGGATAGGATACTTTGGATGGAACATGAGATGTGTAGCCTGGCGTCTCGGCGCTCACGGTTGCGTCGTCGCGCGGCCTTGTGGAGATCGTCCAGCTCCTTCTGGCGCACAAGGCGACGGCCATCTTGTAGACGACCCCGAACCCTAGTCGGTTGCCATCGATTTAGCGACGCGGCAAGCATCGTGCCGTCGCGTGTAGGTCGTCGGGCCAAGTCCCGCGACGTTGTTGTGCCTAGAGCAATATACGGGAACGCTACGAGCGAGTGCCTAAGATCTGCGTTGCGATAGAGCGACGGGCAGCATGTTTGGGACTTGGTTGGTGTATGGTATACAAACATTAAGTGCATTTTGGTCGCGGGCGCTGATTGGCCCTTGTGCGGCCACCGATTAATCACTGGTCCGGGACCCGATTTTCATTTTCGAGTTTTTACTTTGCCCGACAAGATGCACCTCATGTACCACCTCGGCGCCGACGGCAAGCGCGTGTACTCGCTCAAGAAGGAAGACCCGAGCGGCAAGCCGACGCACTCGGCCCACCCGGCGCGCTTCTCGCCCGACGACAAGTTCTCCAAGGAGCGCATCACGACCAAGAAGCGCTACAACCTCCTCCCGACGCAGTCGCCGGACCCGCTGTACCAGTAAGCAAGTAGTAGAGGCATCCTAACGACGCACAATCCATTATTTTATGTCCTTTTAGCACGATTACTACCTATATATAGTGTCTGTCAGGTGAAGAGCGTCACATGAGCTTGGTACGCGCCGGTCGACGAGCCGCCGTGGTTCGTCTGCTGGCAGCTATACACCTTGGCGCCGGCTAAAGCTTATTACCGTGCCGCACGGAAACATTTTGCCATCGCCTACCCGCAGCTCACTGACGAGTCCTCGTATGGCAAGGCCCATGGAGGCTCGCGCTCGCGGAGTTCTACTTGGATGTCTTCACGCGCCACATTTGTCGGCAGATGGCCCACTGGCGTCCTCAATCTCGGCGACATCTAGTTATGACGTCCGTGGCGCTCAGTCGCTGCTTTATCGTCGTGCCGATGGAACATGACGTGGCGTGGCGTGCTGCGTCTTATGCCCACTTGATTCCAACCACGACGGCAGTGCTACTCGGAGCGCCTGAATCAAGTTTGTTGGGTCGACGCAGTGCACGGTACCCATACCCGGCCAAGTCGTGGTGCGTTCGGCTGTAGTAACGTCGTGGAAGATGATCGTAGGCCATCGATTCGATCGCGATGCTTTCGCGACGCACCCCTCGACTGTTCGTTCTCGCTTAAGACCTAGAAGCTCATTTAGCGCTCGTGCCTGAGCGTTCTCGACCATGGACCCGCGTGCATCCGAACCATCGCACTCACTTTCCATCCTCAGCCACGGCGTCTCGTATCCAAGCTTGATGGACGAAGATCTCATTGGAGACAGCGTCCCGCCTGAGCGATCTTATGCGCGTCTTAGTTGGGCCTTGACGACCGTGGTAACGGCCATGGCACCCATTGCAAGTACACCGACGAACCGAGCGCTCGACGGATGCGCTCCATAGAAAGCGCTTCCAGGCTCCTTACAACCAGCGACGCGTCGCCACCTGCGCAGATGCCCAAGAGCCACTGGCCATAGCACACTGCATTGGTCCGCGCTACAACCGTAAAGATCGCGCTCGAAACCAATGCAGTCGACGGCGGATGAAGCGCATGTGTTGACCGCGCGAAAAGCTTGGGTTCTTCGACGTGCAGAGCACCATCATTGTCAAAATCAGACGCGCCCTGTCCCCACGTTCGTACCTCGAGCCTAGACTTTATGGTACGACGCGACTACATATACTGTAGTTACTAGTTAGTTGATGTGTACCAACTTGGTCCAATTACGGTCGGCGTGCGGCATGGGCCCTGCGGCTGGCCACGGACGGACAGCGGTCGCGCCCTCTGCCGCGGGCAGCCTTTTCGCTCCATGTGCTCCGATTGGCTCTCCCAAAGATGCTTCCTCATTGGATGAAAATCACCGATTGCCGCGGGTTCGACGGCATGGGATTGGTCGAAAAACGTGATGGGTCGCTGTGATTGGTGGGGGCGGCGGAATCTGGGACTGGTGGCCAGGCAAATGAATCTGTTGTTATCGGATCCCTTCGCGGCTGCGGGGTACTCTCTTGAAGTTTGTATACTGCCGGCAATGACGTTACACCCTTTTTCTTTTGCTCATTTCGAATTTCCCCTCGGTCCCCGTAAGACAACGATGGCGCAGCAGATGCCCGAATTCAAGCTCATCCTCGTCGGCGACGGCGGCGTCGGCAAGACGACCTTCGTCAAGCGCCACTTGACGGGCGAGTTCGAGAAGAAGTACGTGGCCACGCTCGGCGTGGAGGTCCACCCGCTCAAGTTCGAGACCAACTTCGGCCCGATCAAGTTCAACTGCTGGGACACGGCCGGCCAGGAAAAGTTTGGCGGCCTCCGCGACGGCTACTACATCCAGGGCCAGTGCGCCATCATCATGTTCGACGTGACGTCGCGCATCTCGTACAAGAACGTGCCCAACTGGCACCGCGATCTCTTCCGCGTCTGCGAGAACATCCCGATCGTGCTCTGCGGCAACAAGGTCGAGGTCAAGGACCGCAAGGTCAAGGCCAAGCAGATCACGTTCCACCGCAAGAAGAACCTCCAGTACTTTGACATCTCGGCCAAGTCCAACTACCAGTTCGAGAAGCCCTTCCTCTGGCTCGCGCGCAAGCTCGTCGGCGACAACAACTTGACGTTCGTCGAGGCCGCCGCCCTCGCCCCCCCGGAGGTCGTCATGGAACAGAGCCACATTGCCAGCCTCGAGGCCGACCGCGCCGCTGCCATCAACGCGCCCCTTCCCGATGAGGACGACGATATCTAAGCGCCGAGGCCATTTCTTATTTGCACATGCGCGGGCGACGGCCCGCGGGAGTAGACAAAAGTGACATCAATCAAGAAATCTCTTTTCCATCTACACTCCATCTACACTTCTTGTGTCCATGCTACGTTAGAAGGAAGGAGGAGGTGCTATAGCACTAGTAAGAACTGGAGTCCTGTCAACCCTGCCTGTAACGCAGGCCTCAACGCCCAGGTGCGTCTGGGCCATTGGACAAAAATCGACGTAAATCCTCCACATCGCTGCTTCTGATTGGTCAAAAACCTTTTTCGATTTTGACATGGAGGCCCGCGTCGCCCGGGCCATGGAGCAGGCCCAAGGACCGCGGATAAGCCTGACGGATGTGGAAGTGGCGGCGCAGATACGGCGCGAGGCTGCGCGCAAGAAGGAGCGGGCCAAGGAGCTCGGCGTCATGAGCTACATGGTACGTACCAAGCGTCCATGCATCGATCGATGTACCATCAATGTGTAGTTGCCTGTGGCGCCGGCCACGAACGTCAACAAAGGCTTCCTCCTCAACACGATCCGAGGGTACTTGCATCAATGCGCTTCTTCTAATGCCATTCTCATGGCGATCCTTGTAGCGTGGACTCGCACAACAAGCGCCAAGAGATCGACCAATGCTGGCGGAAGCGCGACCTCGAAGCTAAAGTACACCGGCGCCGGTCTCGGTCCCGAGAGCGACGCCACCGAAGACGCAGCGCCAGTCCTGATCGCCGCCATCGACCACGCAGCGCAAGTCCCGACCGACGACGCCGCAGTCCGTCGCCGACGCGGGCGCAGGACGAGCGATCGTACTGGGCCGAGCGCAAGGCCGCGCGGACCGCAGAGCTCCTCGCACAGCTCGACGGCCGCAGCTGCATGCTCGAGAACGCTCCGAATTACGACGAGGGCTCGTCGTCGTCCGAGAGCGACGAGGCGAGTGCGAAAGCCGCCAGAAAGGCTGCGAAAAAGGCCGCAAAACGGGCCAAGCGCGCCAAGAAGAAGGCCAAGAAGGCCAAGCATGCCTAGCTGTCGCATACTGGCGGTGGGGTTGAATGTTACATACTACTAGCTATGGATTCCTATCTGCGTTTGGAGGCGGGCGCTACGGCGGCGTGCCGAACCCAACGCTGTGCGGTGGCGTGCCAAAGTCGATCTTCTTGACCGCGGACGGCGGCTTGAAGTGGCTGTACGTCGGCGACGCCTCGTTCGACGACGTTGGCGGGCGCTGCTTGGTCGTCGAGTTGTACTTGTGCGCTGGCGGCAGCAGCGGCTTGGTCTGCGTCGGCGGCGTCTCGTGTGACTCGAAGCAAAAGCTTTCCTCGAGCTGGCCTTGGGCAAAGAGGTCTTCGAGGAACTCGGCCTTCTTCTCGGGCGTCAGCGGCACCGTCTTGTCTTCGACCACGATGTTCTTGACGGCCGGTTGGCTCAGTCTAATCGTGGGGTTCCATGAGCAACAGGTGCAGAACGCAGCAGCTTACTGGGTGCGTCCGTGCAACTCGGTCCGCGCGGCCTCGAGGATCACCTTCTCCAGCGGCTCCAGCACCGTGTCGAGGCCATCGACAAACATTTGGTCGGCGCGCATGAGATCCTTATGCTCCTACGCTTGTTGAAGGACAAGAGTCGTTCAACCGGGGTTCTTACCTCTTCCACGCTCGCCCGCGCCAGCCAAAAGACCGCCTTCGTCAGCACGACGCTCGGGCAGTTGCGCGCAATGTCGTCAAAGACTGCGCGCGCACCGCCGAGGGTAAACTACGCGATGCATCCGAGCGGTCGGTACTGCCAAGGCTTTTCGTACCTTGGAGATGTACAGCGCTTCGTCGAGACGCGCGCGGAGCTGCGTCTGGAGCGCGGTCGTAAACTCGACGTCCTTCTTCGGCGACGGCGCTGCTTTGGACGGCACCTCGGCGGGCCTAAAGTGCGTCGACAGGAGCGTTTGCACCGGCTCCTTGGGCGTCGCGTCGGCAGGCTTCTTGGCCTTGAAGTGCGACGACGGGACTTCGACGGACCGGAAGGCCGTCTCGGTCGACGGACCCACCTCGTCCGCCTTGGTGAAGAGAAGGGCTTTGGAGGTAGGCACTGCCTCGTCCGTCTTGGTGTACGGAAGGGGCTTGGTGACGCTCGATGGCGCCAACTTGGGCGTTGCAGATTCGGGGAACGCGCTCTTCTTGACCTTGAAGTGCGACGAGAGGACATCTCGCTGCGCCATTGGCGCGTCTGCTTGCTTTTGATGCCGCAGGGCACTCGAGCTCGACGGGAGCGAATGGTAGGTCGACTTGGTCGTCTCCGGCGTCTTGGCTTCGTGAAGCGGCGACGGTGCTGGCTTGCGTTCGAGGTCGAACGTTGCGCTCTCTTGACGTAGGTAGCTTGGCGCGTTGCCAAACGGAGACGCGGCAACAGCCTTGTCGAGGGACCGCGGCTGCTTGAAGGCACTGAAGCGTTCTGTCTTGGCGCTGCTTCCGTGCACGAGTGACCGCGTCGGCTCGGGTGTCGCTGGCGCAATGGGCTGCGCTTCGGAAGGCGCAGTGGGTGGCGCCGTGAGTGGCGCAGCGGATGGCGCAAGGTAGTCGACTTCGTCGTCATCGTCGTCGTCCGAGTCGTCAAACATGAGTCGCGTCTTGACATGTTGCAGCGTATCGTCAGCTGTAGATGCTGCAGTTCGAGGTTGATACCGCAGCGCGCTGAATGAAGACTCGGTCGTCAGCGATGGAGGCTTTGCGCTTGCTTCTGCTGCGACACCAAGGCGCGGCTCGGCGGCCACGGGCTTGGCATCGACGACGGCGGCCACCGGCGGCGGTGGAGGTTTCTACGTGGAGCATCGTTGTTCACATCAATCTCATCGTTGCGGCAGTCTTACGTCGAAAGTCGTCCGAGACGACTTGGACGGTCCAGCGTCCGACTTCAACGGCACCTGGGACGCCGTTCGTCCACTGATTTCGGGCTTTGCCTGTCCAGCCGTCGGGCGGTACGAGCTGGTGTACGAGCTGACTTTGGGCTTGCTAAGGCGGTCGATGGCTGCCTTGGACATGCCCCGTGCGGCGCCCGAGGCCACAGGCTTGGTGGTGGCAGAGGCGCGGCTGGTCGTCGCCATTTCCACACGCCGGCTCTGCAGGTACTCCGCCAGCTTCTCACGGCGCGAGACCCTTGAAGCGTCAGCCGCCGCCGCCGACGCGCCGGTCGCTGCGCCATGCTTGGCGCTGGTCAGCTTCAGGGAGAAGCGGTCGGACATCGCGCTCGTCGGGCTTTGGCCGAGAGATTTCAAATTTTAAACGGCGTCCCATCCGGATAACCGAACAGAGTCGAAACCGGTCCCTTTCCCGGTTCATCGAGCCGGAAACCTCTTCCGGCCGGCTTTTCTCCGGAAATGGAGCGGGATATAGTGTACGATGACGCCGGCGTCGTCATCGTCCCGATGATCGCTACTTCTTCGGCTACTCAGTGACTTCGTGCCTCCTCCGCATGAGTCCCGAGGCCGACGACGCCCAGGCAGAAGGTCTGCATGGTTCTTGTCCAGTGGCGGCTTGGTACCAATGCGTTGCTTTCACGAGCGGTAATAATGAAGGAGCACTCGCCTCAGATCTCAGCTACCTGAGCCTTGCCCCATCACACGTGGCGCATACAGAGAAGAAGCACCAACCCTGGAATTGAACCGACGACAGCACCCCATTGACAGCACCCAAGCATGAAATGAGGTGGCAGAGAAAGACGCAGGCGGACAGTGGCACGAGACGCTTGTACGGATGACGAATCGCCGGGGGCGCGACCTTGATTACTACTGAAACGAGGTCGGACCAGCTTACTGTATGAGCGCAGTGTACGCAATGGCAAGTCCTCCTCGGCGGCGCCCGTACTTCAAGCGCTGGCTCTTCGATCAACCGCCGAGGCATCACGCAATGCCGGGGGTAGAAAGGTTCGTGTGAACATGGGCCCGTAAGTCAATATTGACTATAAGTACCCTTGGTGTGCGCGAAAGAACTAGAGTGTCGATGACTGATGCTGAGCAGGAGAAAATACGATTAACTTAGTGGAAACTAGGACAAACTAACGCGAGTGCGAGGGTCACGGCTTCATGAGCAAGCATTCGTAGAGCATGTCGTCGGTCGACTGTGGCGAAACGCGGTAGTCGCTGATCTTGTTGTTGTTGTTGTTGTTGTTGTTGTGGTGGTGGTGGTGGTAGCTCGACTCATACTGGGTCGGCAACATCTCGAGGTACTCGAACTCGAGGAGGAGGTCCTGCTTGGTCACGCGCTTCTGCTGCTTGAGCGGGATCGGTTCGACGCGCGCATGGTGCATCGTGGTCGTTTCATCAAAAGACCGCTTGGCGCCGCGGTTGTCCTTGTAGATCGCTTCGACCATGCTCGTGAGGTGCGAGATGTTGCCCGTGAGCGCCGCGACCTGCGTCTGGAGCTCCACGACTTGTTGACGGAGGTCGTCGACTTCGTCGCGGTCGGGCAGCGGGTCGCAGTCGCTGTAGTTGGTCTTGCGCTTGATCTTGGCCATCAAGTGCGGCTTCCCGCGGATGAAGAGCTCGTGGTAAAACTCCCACGAGTTCTTGGCGTCGTCCGTCTCCATCGCGACAAGGAGCACCTCTTTCTTGGACTTGCGGAAGCCGTAAAAGTTGAGCTGGCGCACAAAGCTCGAAAAGTTGTTGTGCTTGAAGTACTTGGGCAACACGAGCGACGCAAACGCCTTGGGGTCTGTGATGACAAAGCTCTTGCCATCCGCGCACCAGCCCGCGACGCCATGCGCCGCCGTGTCGATCATGTCGTACGTCTTCTTGAGGAAGATGGCCGCGTTGCACGTCCCCTTCATGGCTCGTAGTAGTAGCTCGGTGGAAATTCAAGAATGACCCGCGCCTGCCGACCCCCGCGCTGATTATCAATCGGTCGCCCTTGTAAACTGCAAGATCGGTCTCGACCAATCAGCGTCGCGCTTAACGCATACGCCCGCATGATTGGTCGTCACCCATGCAGTGTTTGGTAGCAATCGGTGCCAGCTGGTCTGTGCGTGTTTGGTATCGAAATCCAGGCTCGCACCGTGGCATACAAAACCCAAGTACAAGAAACTCGGGGCCGAACTGACAGGCCCCTTCGAGTCTGGTATACTGGAGACGCGTCAAGCTACAACCGACCTCGCCATCCCACGTTATGTCACAGGGTGCTCGTGCGCATCGAGGTGGGCATCCCCACAACTCGTGCTCGCTGCATTTGGCGTGCGAGCCGATATTGTCGACGGAGTTTTCATCCATGATTGCTAGCATGGAGAGATAGCAATCCCACGTCCGAAATAGATCAAGCGCCGAGTGTCTCTTGCACTACGACGACGTCAACGTGCATGGAATTGCGCATCAACAACATCTATCGTGCGCGCAAGGACACGAAGCGGGGCCGTCGCCACCCGAAATCGCATGATGCCGCAGTGATGACAACACTTTGCCATTGGTAAACACGTGATGAGACTGGTCGCGCAGCGTGGACAGCCATGTTCAAGCATGCGGCTGCTCTCTAACTTTTGTTTGCGGAAATAGAAACCCTCCTCATATTGGCGACCTTTGCGTCGTGTCCGCAGCTTCAAGAATCTTATTTTGTTGACGACATCACAAGCAGCACGACGACCTTCTCGCTTGAAAATACCCGCACTTCCTTCGTGCGGAACTAAACTCGAGTTGCTGTTAGTGCTTAGCGACGCATGGAACGAAGGTTGCTTGGTGCGAGGGCTCTGGCTTGCTCGTCGAGAGCACGGTACAGTGAGCATCATTTTCAATCCGGAATGATGGTCACTGGTTCTGAGCCTGGATCGTCGGTGGGTGCGCGTGGACCAACTGGCCCAACGCATTGAGTTGATGCACGATACAAGCGAACACGATCGAAGCGCTCCGAGTCTGTACGTGGACTTGCTGCGAGGAGCACTGGCATTCACTATGCAGTGTCGGTGGAGTGGTTTCGCGATGATCACAGGCACAGTGCTGTGACTTGACCACGCAGTGGATTTTGATAGGCTCATGACCGACGAGTCACCTACACCATGGACACGTATGGTAGTACATGGTACTGGTATGCGCTCGGAGGCGCCGACTTCTTTGGAAGGAGCGACGAGCCATTTCCCGCAGCTCCACTGTGCAAGTAGTAAGCACTTCGTTTACAGGCAGAAACACATCATTTAATCAGTTTTCGCTTCAACTCGATGCGCGGTACCAAGCTGGCTTTGGCTGGCAAGTCACGCAAAAGGCCCTTTGAGCCTCCGAGGACGAGAGGACAAGACCGGAAATATGGATCTGAGAGTGCTTCCACAAGACTTTTAGCTGTAGTACAAGACTTGGATCTCACCAAGCCTCGTGTTGTCTTCACAGAACGTGGTGATATATTTGAATTCGTAACGACAGCCGCAAGCTATTACACCAGTGCAGCCAAACCTCCAGTGGACACGACCTGCGGAAGGATGTTTCAGCATGCATCTGACGTGGCGCGACGACAGAGCCAGATTCGGAACCATCACTCACACAAGGGTAGAGTCCAACCCTGAGTGCATGCTCGGTTCCAGCACCAACCGACTTTTCTTGTGTGGGTCATCGATTCGAACTTGTCTAAGCACTTGTGAGGACCCGATGCCACGCTGCTTCTTCCAGCTCTCTCCTTCTTTCATCGCATTGGTATGAACGATACAGCGCTGTAGGACACTGCTAATTATAACAGTGCGCTCGGACGCTCCATGTCGTTTGAGAAGAACTGGTCCAATCGCAGAATGTATACAATAATCAAGCTACAAACCTAACCACTCGAGCATGCGTCCGTAGCAAGAACAGTTGTCCTCGCGCATCGTATATGGGCTGAAAGGTGTCGTGCAATCCTGTCCAAGAAGTTTGGGCGCGGAGTGCACCGCACATGCAGCGCCACGTCGGGCCTTGTCTCGAGCTTGTTGATTTATCCAGCTTGAAGTGGCCGCATTACAGCTTAGTATCTTGGCCATTGTATACCCATACAACGTGGCAGAAGCCGATACAAAGCCCAAGGTAAAGTCCAGTATACTAACCCCAAGTCCAACTACAAACCGTGCGCGACACGCGGGTCACTCTCCGAGCTTTGGACGCGTGCGTGTCCAATTTTATCCAATCACAGCGCGCCGTTCGTTTTGGCGCGCAGCGATTGCTCGAAAAAGGACCCGCCGTTTCCTACGACCTGGAGAGGGTGCATAATCGCCACCGTCGTTATCGTTCTAGGAAGAAGAGCCGCATTTTGGAATTAACCGCTTGAAACAAACATGATCAAATCGTCGACGGCCGCGATCTTCCTCAAGAAGACCTTCGACATGGTCTCGCAGTCGCCGACCGACATTGCGGCGTGGGCACCGGACGGCGCGACCTTTATCGTCAAGGACCCCAAGGAGTTTGCGTCGCTCATGCTACCCAAGTACTTCAAGCACAGCAACTTTTCGAGCTTTGTGCGCCAGCTCAACTTTTACGGCTTCCGAAAGTCCAAGAAGGAGATCCTCCTCGTCGCGCTCGAGTCGTCCGACATTAAAAACTCGTGGGAGTTTTACCACGAACACTTTCACCACCACAAGCCGCACTTGATGGCCAAGATCAAGCGCAAGACCAACAACTCGGACGACGATGCGTCGTTCTCGTCGCCGCCCGCACACCCGACGAGCCAGGTCGACGACCTCCGCCAGCAAGTCTCGGACTTGCAGTCGCAGCTGACCAAGCTCACGGGCACGCTGAGCCACCTCAGCTCGATGATCCAGACGGTCGTGGACCAGGCCCAGACGCCGGCGCCGGTGGCGCTCCCGCCGATGATGAAGCAGGATAGCTTTCTGCAGGACCTCGAGTACCTCGACATGATGACGAGCAACCAAGACGAGGCCGCCACGTCCGAGTTCCAGCAGTTGCTCGCAGGATCCTCCTCGCTACCGTCCGTCGTCATGTATTAGCTGCATTCGAAGCGTTTACTACATATCTAATATCTTATTTAAACATCTGTGTCCTTGTATGCACTTGGTGGTGGGTACGTACGTGGCACCCGCTGCATGAAGCCAGCGCGGCAAGCCCGTGACGCAAGCGTCGTGGCTGCGGTCATGGGCCTGGCCCATGGCACTTGGGTGCACCGCCAAGCCCCAACTGCAAGGTGGCAGCTCCCGAGGAAGTCCTCATGCGCGCCAACCATCCTCATCATTGACGCAGGTACATGGGTACCCACGCGCTCGATTCGTTGACGTTATGCCTGTCTGTGGCCATCAACATCATCCATTGCACATGGCGCTGGCATCACGCATTGGTCCGATGAGAGATTACGAGGCCCGCGCCACATCACGGGCGCTTCTTCAACTGCTCGGCAACTCCTCGAGGATGGAACGTCGCCGCTGCAGGCGTACGCAGGCCAGGGTCACCAAACTCTGCTGCTGGTATGTCATGGCTGCGCCTTGGTACCTGCGTACCCAGTGGTTCTGGAAGACGGACTCATACCAGATCTGACTCCTGGGGTGAGCGGCAATGTACTGTCGTCCGACGCTGCGTCAAGTGCATGTGACCTTACGCCTTGCATCATCAACGCGGTGTCACAACGACCCTCAGCGTGCTTGGTTGCGAGTGTGTTTGTGTGGCTGGAGCAGTTCGCTACGCCTTGCGTACTTACGACCGCCAACATGATCTTCCTCGAGATAGACATGGTGGAGGATGTGAGCCAAGGCAATGCGAACGCCAGCACAGAAGTATGGGGGGCGCCGCAAATATGGCACCCCCGAGGCAATGTATCTAACGATTTCTAACAAAAACTAACACTATAAACGAGCTCGGAGCGCTCCTACTGGAGGGGCGTCGAGAAGGGAAAGCCCATGGGCATAACCAGCGACGGCGAACACCGGGCGAGGCTCTCGGCCGCGTTCGCGGAGGCTGTGGAGGACGACGACGGGGCTGCCGTGGGGGCCTTGGGGAAAGCTTCGAGCAAGTCTTGCATCGAAGTCGCGGTTTCGTCAAAGCTGCCAAAGTGGCGGTCGTCAAACATCATGAACTCGTCGTCCAAGTTGAGGCTGTTCTGGTGCGCGAGCGACGGCGGCGCGGGGGCGACAATATCCATGAGCATCGGCTCGATCTTTACGAGGTGCTCGCAGTCGTCCTGGACAACCGTCTTCTGCTTCTTGGGCGACGGCGGCGCGCCTTCCGGCACCGACTCGAGCGCCCGCTTCTGCGTCTCCATGAGCGTCGAGACGACCGAGGTCAAGTTCGTAATCTGGTTGGTGAGCTGCGAGAGCTGCGACTGGAGGGACGTGACTTGGCTCTTGAGCACTTCGACTTCCTCCTTCTCGGTCGGCTCGCCGGCCTCCGAGTACGTCTTGCGGCGGATCTGGGCCATGAGCTCCGGGTGGTGGCGCAGAAACTTGTCGTGGTAAAACTCCCACCAGTGCTTCGTGATATCGTCTTCCACGATCATAATGTCCTCCTTCTTGTACTTGCGGAAGCCGTAAAGTTGAGCTGGCGCACGAACGAGGCAAAGTTGTTGTGCTTGAAGTACTTGGGCAGCATCGTGCGCGCAAACTCCTGCGGGTCCTTGACCACGATGGTGGTTCCGTTGTTGGCCCAGGAGGCGACGGCCTCGGGCGAGTTCTCGAACATCGTGTACGTCTTCTGGAGGAAGATGGGCGCGGAAGACGCCTTCGACTTGGGGGTGGACGCGGCCTTCATGGCAAAATCGGAAATGACTTGGCCGCCCACTCGCCCCGTTGGGCCAGGCGCGCTCATTGGCCAAAAAGAGACCAATCCCATGGGCAGGTGCCGTAATAGGCCGTGTGATTGGCCGAAAGCCAACGTCATGTCGCAGATCACGTGAGGAGCGAGATGCAGGTGAAAATTGCTTGCTGCCAAAGTGCAAATACCACGTGGAATTTTCACCGTGAAAAAGGCGGTTACCGTGGGCCGGCCTTTCCGAGCCTCACCTTAGATTCAACCATGTGGTACGAGGGCTTTGTCGTACCTATCTGAGCGATAAAAGGTAGTGGTAAAGATGCATTATATACCATAGCATTTGAAAGAGCATACAATTAGCAAGTGTAAAAATGCACGATTTGTACCAATTAGCATCGCGTAGATAGCGCCGAGAGCGGGAGAGAGACACTGATTATGCAACTGTAGGCCGGAAGTTGACGCAAGTTCAATGCGACAAGCACCGCCGATTGGAATTGGATGCAAGCCGCGCAATCACGCCGAAGGATGTGCCCGACGCGATAAAGTTCTTGAGGCCCAGACTGCGAGGCGGTGTCTCGACCGTTGAATGCGGCGTCTTCTCCAGCGCACGCCTCTCGAGTGGTTTAAAAGGTACGAAGCGTGCATACCCGCGGTGGCAGCGTCAGCGGCGCAAGGGTCGCAGCGTGCGAGGTGAAAAACGCTGGGTGTGGCCGGACTGGCGGATAACTCTTTGCGGCAAGGCACATCATTTTCAGATTTGAGTTTCTGGTCGTGGCAGATGTCCCAATCGAGCCCCACCCACAATCTGGCCCGCAATGGACGCTGGCGAGACGAGACAGATGCAGCGTGTTCGCCGCGCCACTTCCTTCTTCCAACGTTCGTTTTGGCGATTGCACTTTTGATTGGCAAATGTACCACCACAGCAAAACCTTCTTGGCCGCGTCGATGGACTCGGTCCCGATCCTACACTTTACGACTGGTCACTTCAATCCGATCGCGCTCCCTATCACCGCTATCGCAGGCTTCCGCCCTCGACGTGCATTTGCCGTCGAGGCCAAGGGTACTCGATCCTGCCACGTTCTGGCCGCCGTTCTCAAATGGGTTGTTGTGGGCCGCTCGTCCGTGGGAGCTGCCACTCGTCGGTGATTTTATTCGTCATTTGGCCAGCTTGCCAGCAGAGTGTAGAGCACTGCCTCCGGTTTGCCTCGATGCTACTCTTACTAGTAGCAGCAATAACGATGGGCAGGTCATCGAACAATCCGATTAGAGAGGGGATACTGAGTGGCCTCAAGTCGGGACGGCATTCCTGTGCTGCAGCATGGGCGATGGCCCCTTCCGAGCGGAGACGCGGGCGCGGCAAGTATATGAGGCATGATTTCGCTCGCCACGGTTGCCGTGGGCGTGGGATGCCCGTGCACCATGCACCTGTCGAGCAGTGTTCCGAGAGAATAGTTGGTGTGAGAATTGGTCTGCGTCCGTGCTTGACGAGTAGTCGCCACGTTCCAGCGTGAGATCACGGGTGGTCACAACAGAAAAGCGAACGGCACGGGCTTCCAAACCCTCGCGTCGTTCCTCGGGCTGGCGGAGAACGGGCTTGGCATTGAGGATCTTGCATGAATGCGGAAAGCACTCGGACCTCTCGTCCGGCCGCTCTGGCACCGGTACCAGAAAAGGCTTTTCGGCGGTGCGCCCGCCCTTTCTTCAATATCTCGTTGCCTCGACCCGCGCGTGTCGGAGCCTGAAGTGGTACGCATTTGGTGGGACCAACCCGCGCTCCTCTCTGCGTTTGACCTGCGTGGTATGGCCGTGATGGGTTGGTTGCCTCCTATTATGTAGCACCACACTTCCATACATCTCTGTCAAATGCTTGGCCATAGCCTAGCTCGAGCGTATGGGGCGCTCTGGCAGAGCATAGTGCATGCGATTTCAACTCGTCCGCGCGCATCCAAGTTGAAAAGTGAGGCACAGAATAGCGCACAAGCTCGTTGCTTCAAAGGTGGGACGGACGACTGGCCGATAACACGCGCGTGCTGTTGTAGGCTGCCACGTCATTTCGCCGGCCCTTGCGGGCCAATCTATATTGGGCGTTCGGATTGCTTGATCAATTTGCACCGCATCATCAATGACAAGTCCCGATACGGCACCTCATTGGTTCGTTTATAGCCAATCACAGTGCGGCGTGGCACGCCCATACAATTTCGCAGACAAAAATATGATTTCGTATTTGGGGATGATCGCCTAATCAAGCGCTTCCGTGGCGCTTCCATGGCGAGACACTGGCCAGTTTGCATTTTGCTTTGCGTCGATCACATCATGAAGTCCCCGAAGACAACGACGGCGTCGGCGCCCATCTTCATTCAGAAGACGTACACGCTCTTCGAAGAGTCGCCCGCAAGTATCGCCGCGTGGGCCAACAACGGGACCACGATCGTCATCAAGGACCCGCAGCAGTTTGCCACCATGATGCTGCCCAAGTACTTCAAGCACAACAACTTTCTCAGCTTTGTGCGCCAGCTCAACTTTACGGTTTCCGCAAGTACAAGAAGGAAGAAGTCGAACTCGTCAACAACGAAAACACCAAGCACTGGTGGGAGTTTTACCACGACAAGTTCCTGCGCGCCAAGCCCGAGCTCATGGTGCAGATCCGCCGCAAGACGTACTCGGAGGGCGACGGCACCGACAAGGAGGAAGTCGAGGAGCTCAAGAACCAGGTCAACTCGCTCCAGAGCCAGTTCCACCAGCTCACGGACCAGATTTCGAGCTTGACAGCGCTCGTTTCAACGCTCATCCAGACGCAGAAGCGGCCGCGCGACGACCATGACATCGCCGAAGCGTCGACGAAGAAGTGCAAGCTCGACGACACCTCGGACTTTGACGGCCTCTTCGATGTCGTTGCGGACGACACCACAATGCCGTCGCTCGACGACCTCTTCGCCGTCGAGGAGGACGAGTCAACGGTTGTGAACTCGGTGCTTGCGTCCTTTGACCTGCCCATCGACGCGCGTTGTGGCGCGATGCTCGGCAATGCGTGCGTCGCAGGCCCCAGCATGCCGTTCTGCTGCCCGATTTAGTTAGTTTATTGTTCCCACTGCCCGTGTATCATCCGCCAACTGCGTGGATTATACTGCTTGCCTGACGCTGCTTCGTACCTTCGATCTCAAGACTACGAGGCGCCTAATGTCAACAAGATGTACAGTATCTTTCATTCCTCGTGTACTCTGTGAATCCCAGCACGAGATTCGAACGTCATCGAAGCTCCTTCTTTGCCTCTGCCGCCATCGCGCCACTGTTGACAGAACATGTATCACCCTCCAAGCGCACTAGTAGCTCGGGGCACGGCCAGCAGCTTGCATAGGACCAGGGCCAGTACGGGACGAGCAATCGGGTGTGCGTAGACGTTCAAGTAGTTGGATCGAGGAGCGACCGTGGAGCGTCGTGATCACCGTGCCCTTTCGTTCCGCCAATCAGATCTGATATGAATCTTGGTGCCCGGGGATCGCGTGATCAAGGGCCTTGACGCGATGCACTGCACAGGAGTAGTGGCACAGGAGGGACGCCTGCGGCTACAGGATGCTCTAGGCGTCCTCAACGACTAGGCCGCAGCTTTTGATGGCTCACTCGTTGAGCCAAGCGAGTTTCTCCACATAATGAGCGTACCTGGTACCGTTTCGAAATCGCCGCAGTGCGCTCATTGAAGTATTTCAAAAGACTAGAAATAGCACTGTGGGGCAGCGAGACGTGCGGAGGGCAAGCTAAGTGTTGTGGCTCTCTTGTTCGTTGTGGCCGTTGTGCCGGGAATAGCACGAGCGACAAGGAGCGCCCCGTCGCTCGACGTCCAATCGCGCGCGGCCAAGTGGCCACTTGGCGCTCGGAATCCGATTCGTATTTTCCAGCGGGCTCACAATCACTGCATTCCTGGATTGGTGGATTTATAACCAATCACCGCTGCCTCAAGATGCTGTCGTGGGTTGCGCGCCCGCACAATCGCACACGCATGCCGTTGAAGCGAGTCCGCGTCGAGGCCGAGGCGGCGCCGGTGCTTGGCCCGGTCTTTCTCCAGAAAATCTTCCGGCTCTTCAGCGAGACGCCACGTCACATCGCGCACTGGGGCCGAGACGGTCGTACGGTGCGCATCGAGGACCCGCACCGGTTCGCCCTGGATGTCTTGCCCTTGTACTTCAACCACAGCAATTTTCTGAGCTTTGTGCGGCAGCTCAACTTTTACGGCTTCCGCAAATACAAGCCCGAGGACGGGTTGAGCCACCTCCCGTCCGAGAAGGCGTCGTATGCATGGGAGTTTATCCACGACCGCTTCCAGCGCAGCATGCCCGAGCTCGTCGCGACGATTCGCCGGAACGGGCACGTCGCGCCAACGAATAATGACGCCACGCCACGGGCCGAGACGCTTCCGGCCCTCCAGATGCAAGTGCAGGAGCTGCAGCGGAACAGCCAAGACATGGTCGCGCGCATCACAGCACTCACGTCGCTCCTCTCCGAATTTGTTCGCGACCAGCAGGACCGACCCGTGCCACCCTCCGTGATCCTAAAGGACAAGAACGAACACGGAATGCATTGAATCAAAAACAATGTATTAAGTGGGTGATCGTGCTGTTGAAGTGACCACAATTTCAGACGAGTTATCCCGACGCGTTTGTAGCGCAAGCGGGCGACGCACAAACATCAGAAGAACTCGGGCGTGTACGACCCGTGCGGCCGTTATTGACTCAGTCAATTTGCAACTTTGACGTCGGGTGGATACCAAATATGTATCTTGATGGCGCAGCAGAATATTTGCGGTTCTCGACGTTTTGCCCTGCTGGGAACACTGCCGAGCGCATGAATATGGACAAGTCGCTTGGACCGAGAGGTGGATAAAGACGTGCACGAGCCTGCGCGCCGCATACGCAGTTGGTCCGTAATCGCCTGACGGTGGCATCCGACGTGATTCGTTTGAGGCGCCGTGCCACTTTTGAAATGCAGCGCATGGATTGGCTTCTTTTTGGCCAATCCTAGCGTGCCAGAATCCATCCATACAAACACCAAGTGTAGGCCCGCGTTACGTCGTTCGATGTTGCCACAGCGATGATCAAGTCATCATCCGAGCTTGCGACATGAGGTAGCTGGCCAATGGCCGCCATTCTGCCTTTTGCCAAGCACCAAGCAGCCATGACCTCGCCGATTGCCGCCCAGTTCATCCAGAAGGCCCACGCGCTCTTCTGCGACGCGCCGACGCACATCGCGCAGTGGGCCCACGAGGGCACGACGCTCCTGATCCACGACCCGCACCTCTTTGCCCACGACGTGCTACCCAAGTACTTCAAGCACAACAACTTTCTCTCGTTTGTGCGCCAGCTCAACTTTTACGGCTTCCGCAAGTTCAAGAGCAAGTTTGCGACGCGCTTGTCGTGGGAATTCCACCACGACCTCTTCCTCCGAGACCAGCCTGAGCTACTGTGCCAAATCAAGCGGAAGGCGCACCTTGAACTCGTCGAGAAAGAAAACCCTGTCGAGGACCTGCGCCACGAGATTTCGGTCATGCAGACCCAGTTTGATTCGCTCACGCAGCAGGTGAAGCAGCTCACGTCGGCGGTCGCGTCCCTCGCACGGGCGCAGGCGCCGCCGGCCGCACCAAAGAAGCGCAAGCGCGTTGACGACGACGAGGCAGGCTGGGCGCCGCTGGATAGTGACGGCAAGAGCGACAGCTTTTCCGCGGACGAGATGGACATGGTCGAGGACGTTCTCGACGCACTGGAGCGGCCGACGGTCATGCCACCGTGGAAGCCGCTGACGTGGATGTGCATCCGCCGCCGCCGTGTAGCTTGAAAGTACCAGCCCTCTCCTAATTTAATCGACCCTTCCTTATTTTAGCTTAGTCCTTCGTCTGTGTTGGCTACAGTGCATGGGCGCTCGGCGGCCTGTCAACTACAAACAGAAGCGCAACATAGCGTTCACACCGACGTCGCTGCCGGGCACGAAGGATGCTCAGTTCACGACGACCGCTGTAGAGGTGTACCTGGGATCTTTTGCGTGGTTTTTGCATGATGATGGCCGGGGTGTCGTCTGTCTTTTGATCAGTTGGCGTTGCCAGACGAGCTACATCGCGACGCTTGTACTGGTTCATGGACTCGAGGCTAGGCTCGCGGTGCTTCCAAGCAGCACAAGTCTCAAGGCTACTACTGTACCTCCACATACATGCAGCACTGGATTTATGCCATCGGTGCTCGAGTACCTCATAGAACTTGGCAGCCGTGGGTGCTTCCTCAACGGCGACAGCCCTGTCTTCTATGCCGACGCGGCCACGTCAAAGGGCACTTGTCGACGCGACATCGTTGCGCCAAAGTGCTGCCCGTCGATTACCCAAGACCTGACACGGCGCAACTCTTATCAAATCATCTGCGACAACCCAGAGACGACGCCTCCCATTGGCTGCTTAAAGCCAATCAAATGGAGCGTTCTCGCCCATACAAACCACAAGGTATCTCGGGCGTCGGTCCACAGTTGCGGGCGCGTTGGCTTCGACACGCATCATTTGCGATTTCCGCGGCTACTGCCAATGACTCAACGCAGCTCCTTCTTGTCGCCGACGCGCAAGGTATCGAAGCGCGCGACGGCGCCGCAGTTTATTCAAAAGACGCACGCGCTCTTCTGTAACGCGCCCGCCCACATTGCCCAATGGCACAACGACGGCACAACGATCTTGGTCCACGACCCGTACGCGTTCTCGCGCGACGTCCTGCCGCGCTATTTCAAGCACCGGAATTTCCTGTCGTTCGTGCGGCAGCTCAACTTTTACGGTTTCCACAAGTACAAGCTCGAGGACGCCGAAGCGTTTACGTGGGAATTTCAGCACGAGCACTTTCTGCGCGACGCGCCCGAGCGCATGCACGCCATTCGGCGTAATACGCCGCCGCCGTCGTCGCCCAATGACGTGGCCGACGTGGCCGAGCCCGCGTTGAGTCCCGTCGCCATGCTCCAACAAACATCCAGGCCGTCCAAGCCCACTTTGACCGCCTCTCGAGCCAAGTCGCGCAGCTCAGCGAGTGTGTGGCAGAGCTCGTGCGAGAGTACGACGAGGAGGACCTGCGCGCGCAAAGTAGTGTACACGCGGTGCAGGAGAAGCCGCCACTGCGTATTCACAACGTCGAGTTTACGGCGCAGGACTTGGCCATGGTGGACGAGGTCCTCGCCATCTTGTCCTTGTAAATCATCGAGGCCGCATAGCCAACCACGTAGAATAGCTGTAATCGTTTATTTAAGGCAGCACTTTAGATGCCCCACGCGCGTCTAGATTAGCCGCGAAGCAACTCGAAGACGGCGGTAAACACAGAGCTTATAGATCGTCCGCACGAACATGCGTACATTGTGAGGGTGCCACGTCATTTTGCGTTGTGGTGAGGTCAAAAATGGTGCGCGATATCAAGGATGGAACGAACTTCTGAGCGCTCGCAGGTACACTGTAATCAATCCCGGGACAAGTTGGAAGAGTTATCCAACGAGGTTTTATTGGCTCTTTTTGGACCAATCCTGCTCGGTTTGGTCGCGTCCATACTGAATTCCAGTGAAAATCGGATTACGGAATCAAACACCGATTTCGTGTGCTGGTTTCGTACATGATCACATCACCGCGATCTTGCTTCCGAGGACCATATCGGGAAGACCTCACTTCTCAATTATCTCTACACCGACAACAGAGCATGATCTCACCACAGCGCAAGTCTGTTACCCTCTCGAGCAACCAAGTCGCACCGCAGTTCATCCAGAAGACGTATGCGCTCATGACCGAGGCACCGGCCCACATTGCGCAGTGGTCCAACCACGGGTCGACGATCCTCATCCACGACCCATACGCGTTCTCGCGGGATCTTCTGCCGCAGTACTTTCGCCACAGCAACTTTTTGAGCTTTGTGCGCCAGCTCAACTTTTATGGCTTCCGCAAGTGCAAGCGCGACGACCCGACGAGCTTAGCGTGGGAGTTTGAGCACGAAGCCTTCTTGCAGGACGAGCCCGAGCTCATGCATACCATCCGCCGCCACAACCAGCCGATGGCCGACCAAGACACCGAGCCCGAGCCGGAAACGACGCCCGTCGCTGAGCTCCGCGAACGCATCTCGACAGTGCAAACCAACTTTGAGCTTCTTACGCAGCAGCTGACACAGCTGACCGCAGTCATCTCAACGCTTGTCGTGTCAAGAAAGCGATCTGTCGAGTCGGACAGTGGCGGCGCCAAGCGTTTGTGTGTCGACGCTGATGCGGACGACATGGAGCCCCTCTACTTGGATCGGCACTCGACGGATCTAACGGCCGAGGACTTGGCCATGGTGGATGATGTGCTTGATATCTTGTCGCACGCGGCTGTAAACCCGCCGCTGGACACTGCGATCGAGGTGTAAGCACAACTAATAGTATAATATAATTCAAGGAATGATTCTGACTGAGATTTTGATAACTAGTGTTGTGCATTTGCACAATCGCGTCCAGCATTTCACAGCAACGGTTCAATGAAACGAAGCGACGGGCTTCCTTCAGTTGTAGAGTAAGTAGAGACTCGTTAGTCGACATCAAATCATACTACTCGACAGTCTTCTGTTAGCGTCGTTTACTGCAGGGACGTTTAGTAGTAGACTGTGGGATTTGCCATTTTGCAGTTGTGCGAACGATGTGTGTCGCTGAAACGCAATCTGCGACACGCAGTGTTAAATAAGGGGATTCGGATTGGCTTGTTGAATCTCCGATAGCCAATCAATGGCGTTTCGATAGGTCGAATGATGGTCTTGGACTCATCATCTAACCATCGCAAATAATCAGTCCAAGGCGCTTTGTACACAATCCCTCGGCATAACCCAATATTTCAGCGCAGGCAGACATGGCCAGAGCACCACCTCTCTTCATCCGAAAGACCTTCATCCTCTTCTCCAATGCCCCGAAAGAGCTCGCTGAGTGGGCAAGGAACGGGACGACGATCTTGATCCACGACTCCCACGTCTTTGCGCGGGAGCTCCTCCCACGCCACTTCAAGCACAGCAACTTTCTCTCGTTCGTGCGCCAGCTCAACTTTTACGGTTTCCACAAGTGCAAGCGCGATGACGGCAGCGGCGTCATTTGGGAGTTCCAGCACGAGGCGTTCGTACAACACAAGCCAGAGCTCATGCGAACGATCCAGCATCACCAAGCACCAGTGGTAGCAGCGAGCCCGGCCAAGCCATCGCCGTCGGACGAGACCGCTATGGTTGCGCTACGTCGGCAGATCCAGGCTGTCCAGACCCAATTTGACCAAGCTGCGCGTCAAATCTCAGAGCTTTCGCGGGTCGTTGCCAGCCTCGACGAGCCTCACCCCGACGAGACCCAAGGGCATGGTATTTACAAAGCTCAATCTGCGTTGCTCGACCGAGCCGATCTGGAGCCTCTTGATGCTGGGCGAGGCGTGGACAGCGCTTTGACGCTCGAGGATTGCAGCATGGTCGACGACGTGCTCGATATTCTGTCCTGGCCGAGATTCAATGCGACAGACTATAGCTACTTTATAACATGTTGAATATGCGTTCTTATTGTTCTTATTGTCTATATGCGCGGTATAGAGTCTTTTGCGTGGATTAAAGGCCCTCAGCGTGGAAATGGCGTGCCCATCTCACGTGGAATCGCTCAAACGCAATGTTCAACAACCTCGAGCAAGTACGCAAGAGATCTGACAGTGTACCAGTACCGCAGAATATATTTCAAGTCTTGCACTTGGGCGGGCGATGAGCTTGAGCCCACCCAAGTGTGTGACGCGCTTGAGGTTACGAGCGCCGTTCACCTCGTGACGCGAATAAACGTGATAGCGACCACGATGGATATCAGTCGAGGACCCTGTAAGGAATCTGTTAGGGCAACGTTGCGACCGCTACTATCAGTGCATTGGCTGGACGAGGTGAGCCGACGAGCTATTACTCGTTCGCGTATTGGGTTCGCAGCGAGCTCTTCGCGCGATATCTCTCGCGGTGTTGGCAGTCCCAACGGAGCCTAAACCGGTACTAATCATGATTAGTCACTGGAGTACAGGTACCGCCAATAGTTATGTTGCTATTATTCGGTTAGTAGGGGTCTGTGACGACGCCTCTTATCTCAAGCGATCATGGAGACAAGGCTGGCATGTCGACGCTGACCGAAATGACAAGTTGTGTCGCGTTGATGACGTTGTGAGCCGAGGTTTATCCTGGGAAAAATGCGACTTGCGACACTCGCTGAATCGCCGTTGCGCGCGTCTGATTGGCTTTTAGGATCGACCAATCATTGACCGCCTGTCATTTCCTTACAAACGTCAAGGTAACTGAACTGAATCGACGGCCGACGACGTGGCGGCCCCAAAAAACAGGTGCACCGGCCGGAGGACGTGAGTAGCTTTGCCAATCAAAAAGGCTGGTGCAGTCTACGGCCATTCTGCAATTGCCTCCGAGCCACACAAACATGCTTTCGCCCTTGTCGCCATCGTGTCTGGAGCTTTCGATCGCCCCGTTCCTCCATTCGACCTTTGCTCTCTTTTGCCAAGCGCCGCCGACAATTGCCCATTGGACGCACGAGGGGACTGCAGTGGTGATTCATGACCTCCACCGCTTTGCCCACGAAATGCTCCCGCGGTACTTTGGCCACTGCAACCTCGTGCTCTTTGTGCGCCAGCTCCACGGGTTTGGTTTCCGCAACTTTAAGAGCGCGTCGGGCGCGTGGGAGTTTTGTCACACGCACTTCGTGCTCGAGCAGCCCGAGCGCCTCCGCTACATCCAGCGAGCCGACGAGGACGGCCCGACGTCGCTTCAGGTCGAGATGAGCGAGATCGGAGACCAAGTCTCGCACCTGACCGCGCTTGTGTCGCACTTGACCCAAGAGCGGCGGTGCTGCCTTGCAACCCAAGCGAGTACCGAAGACGCGGACCTCCTCGACGAAGTGTTTGAAATCCTCGAGCTGCCGCAGCAGCCCCTCACTGTGGTTCCGAGCGGCAGCTGGGATTACTAACTAAATATCTACAATACTAACTTATCTATTCTTTCCTTCGTTCTCAATGGCCCTCACAAGGCGCGATCCGAGTCAAAACAGCGTTACTAAACATCAAGTTGCGATCTGCGTTCGTGATTGGCTGTTTGCACGACCGCTGGCACCGAGAATTGGCACTCGTGGTGGAGCAGCCCCACCGCGTGGTGCACGCTTGTATAGTAACCACTTCTTTTGCTGGAGAGTCCCTGCAGCCGAACAAGCTACGAACGTTGACGTCGCGCCGTGTGTAGCTGCATACCTTGGCTGCTTGGTTGGTGAGCGTCACACGAGCACTGGTATGCCACACCAATAGCATGGCTGGTGATGCGAGCTTGTTCCTAGCGTTAGCATCGAGTTCGTTTTGGAACTGGCTGCAAAGGTGAGAACAGTTTCTGGTAACGAATCAGTCCATGGTGGAAAGATAACGATAGCTAACCAATAAAGGTTTCTTCCATGTGCACACTGGAGCGATCCGCAGCCTCAAGAATGGAAGAGTGATGCGTGAAGCGTGATCCGATACACTGTACTAGTAGTAGCCAGCGGTGATAGCCACAGTCAACGAGATGGATCGCCGCAGGTTGTGAAAGGATGTGCGGCTTCACGCGCGCATCGGTGCAATATTGTATAACGTCTCATTGCAGCTGGGCTCTCGATCGGGACATGCTTGATCAGGTCATGCTTGAGGAGGTTGAGCGTTGGCATCTCATCTCTCATGGTGCTGCGTGTTTTTAGCGCTTAGTTTTGTCCTCGTATTTTGTCCTTTTAGAAACATGCCACTTCCATTGGCCAAAATGAATTTCTTTTTGGATTAGCTCCTTTTTGTCCAATCGCAGAGAGACAAGTGACCCATACAACACGCAAGAGTAAGCGCTTCGAGAAGTCCAACGACCAACATTTGCGCAACGTGTTGGGCGAAATGAGCAAGCCAACGACAAAGCCAGCGCCGGCCAAGGCCGCGCCCGTGTTCCTCCAGAAGACGTACGCGCTCTTCGACGAGGCGCCGGCGACGATCGCTTCGTGGGCCCACGAAGGCCGGACCGTCGTCGTCAAGGACCCGCAGGAGTTTGCGCGCTCGATCCTGCCGCAGTACTTCAAGCACAGCAACTTTGCCTCGTTCGTGCGCCAGCTCAACTTTTACGGCTTCCGCAAGTACAAGCGCGATGAAATGCTCTTTGGCGACACGTGTGCTGCCGTCGCCGAGACGGGCATGCAGTACTGGTGGGAGTTTTACCACCCCAAGTTTGTCCGGGCGGCGCCGCAGCTCATGAGCTCCATCCGCCGCAAGACGTACTCGGAGGCGCCGCCAGCGTCAGCGCCAAGCGAGAGCGACGACATGGGCGCGCTGAAGGAGCAAGTGTCTACCTTGCAGACCCAGTACCACCAGCTCTCGTCGCAGCTCTCGAACCTCGAGATGCTCGTCAAGACGCTGATTATGACCCACAAACGCGCGCCGCCAACCGAAGCGATTGAAAGCATCAAGAAGCCCAAGCCCGAAGAGACGCACGGCGTGGAGAGCCTATGTGAGACCAGCGACGACGCGCAGACGCCCGAGTCGTCGCTCGGGCTTTCGCTGCCAGGCAGCCCCCTGCACCTCTTTGACGTGCCGATCGACGACCACTTTTTGTGGCCCGACGAGCTCCCGCCGGCAGCCAACGACCCGAACGTGCTCTCGGGCATTGACGAAATCATCTTTGGCGAGCCCGAGCCCAAGTTGCCGTCGCCGCCACGGTGCTCGATGCAAGCCGACCGCCCGCTCATGTTCCGCTTCACGCTTCCAGCGTTGAAGTGATTTTCAGCAAACTCCTCTATCTACCCTACGTATATTAACTACATATTTACAGCTCTACCTAATCAAAATCATCCCTGCCTCCACCGTGGTCCCTGCCTCCACCGTGGTCCCTGCCTCCACCGAAGTTCGCCTCGAGGGGATGCATGATTCGCGACAAGAAGGTTGAAGATATTGATAACATGGAGTGCTTCGTGCCATAGCAGTATGCAGATAGCCACCGACGAAGGGATCCTCATGCACGGCTGTCAGGAAGCACCACATGAAGAGCTTTGAACGCTCCCGGTCATCGGGCATCTCAAGCACGCGAGAACCTCGTTTGGCTTGGGCTGATCCATGCAACCCGTTGCTTTATTGAATGGCTCCAACGACTCTAAGTACTCGCATGTCGTCATGCCTCATGATGGGTCCAGCCAAGACTTGGCGGCAGCTTTTGGCGCCTCGTTGACCCAGCTCGCTTCGATGTTCCGGATAATCCGTCGTATCCGGTAGGCATTTGCCGCGAAACTCCATTTGGCAGGATGGCGTCGTCGTGGGAAGATGGGGCATCGATCTTGCGCCGACCAGCGGACGCCGGGGCCCGGAAGCGGCCCGCGCCGGGTGCATCAAACGACCTCATGGGTTTTGGCGATGACGAAGAACCCCAAGCTGGAGTTGCGCCCGAGGAGCCTGCGCCCGAGGCCAAGCCCCGGAAGAAGCGCAACATCTTCTCGGAGCAGCACTTGCTGAGCGACCGAGGCTTCCGCGCGGTCTACAATTCGTTCCCGAGCCACTTCAACACTGCCGTGCCTGAAGGCCAGGAAGCGCTGGCGCTGCGCGACCTCATGACGTGCTACAAGGAGTGGGCGTTCGAGCTGTTTCCTGCCTTACGCTTTGAAGACTTTGTGGACCGCACCGAAGTGATTGCCAAGAAGGCCGCAGTACGACGATGCGTCATGCCATCCTGTGTCTTATGCGAAGGATAGGTGGGCGAGCTCCTCCAAGAACTGCGGTCGAAGGAAGCCAAGCGCGGCGAGCCCGAGCCGGACTTTGCCGAGATCGTGCATTCCACAGCATCGGCGCGCGATAGTAGCAGCTCGAGCCATGGCCCGCGCGATGCCAAGGGCGATGTCCCGCGCAGCAACTCGTTCGACGACGCGCTTGCGGCAGAGCAAGATATGCAAGCCCTCCTCGAATATGAGGCCATGCTCGCGTCCACGCGCGACGACGCTCGCAAGGTGCCAGCCCAAGTGCCATCCAAGGACGAGTCGAGCGACGAGGAAGAATTCCAAGCTCCGACTCTCAAGGCTGTGCCGAGACCAGACGTGGCCAGCGACAGCGAAGCCGAAGTTGAGCTGCCCCCTCTCTCGAAGGTCGCCGAGAAGCTTAACGATGCTGTCGACGAGCCGCGTGATGCCATCGATGAGCCTAGTAAAGCCACCGACGAGCCTCGTGAAGCCATCGATGAGCAATCTGGCGATGAGGACGACGGGCCTATGGACGAGGTCGACGACGATCCTGCTGTCGATGCCGAGGACCGCGAGGAAGCGCCGTCGCAAGCCGCCGTTGAACCTGCGTCGCAGATGGACGAGCCTGCCTCCCAGGCGATCGATGACGACGACGAGCTTCCGAGCGACGAAGAAGCCGGCGACGTCATGGAGTACGAAGCGCGTACGTCGATCCTGCGCGACATGGTGGAAACGACCGAGACGCGACGACCGCGGACGTCCAAGGCGCTCGACGAGGCAGCGACGATGCTCGAAGAGGAGTCGGACAGCGACGCCGAGCTGGACTTTCCGGCGACGCGGTTTGGTGCGGCGTCCCAGGTGCCGGCGACGCAAGGCGAGGACGACGACGAGACCCAAGTCACATGAGATTAACGACTGCCGCCCAATCGATTCGTATACGCAAGTCTACTGTGTGTGTGTCTATTTACTTCAGTCGTCGCGAGCGGCGGCGGACGTGCGAGCACGGGCGCTTGCCGTGGTTGGCCTAGCAGCAACGCCATGAGCCTCGCATGGACGAGAGCCGTCGTACCTTCTTGGGCTTGCGCGAGTTTCTACCTACGAGTTGCATGCCAGGGATGGGCTCCGAGGACAAGCGCATGTTCTCCAGCACCGCATCCAAGGCGTCGTAGGGGTTGAAGAGGATCGGCGGGCGCGTGAGCGTCGACGGCGTCTGCGCAAAGCTGGTCGGAACCTGCGAGAACGTCGAGAGGAATGCTAATGCGCACATATGAGCTGTCTACTTGCGCCAGTAGCTGCATGAGGTACCCGGCTTGGGGACGGACACGGCGCGGACCGCGCGGGCGAGGACGTGGTGCATGGGCGCCGATGGGATTTTCGCAACTGCGTCGTGGTTGGTTGCAATTGCCTCGTACGTCAAGCCACGCGACTTTTAATTCCATCCAATACAAAAGGCAAGATATTAAATAAAGTCGGCTCGAAATGGTCTTCTTCTTTTTATTCTATACTCGAATCAAGCTCTTCTGCTGGAATAAAATACCAACACAAACCATTTAACGGCTGAGAGGGTCAGATAATGGCCGGCTTGACCCTCTCGCAACAGAGATCGCACACGCCTGGTAGCCTCTGGCAGCCTATCGAGTACCCGCCGCAGCTCGTCCCATTCGGTCCAAGGACTTGGATTGATTGCCGTATGAGCTGGCTCAAGTGTAGTGTGCCATTTCCGGCACCGATCTGATCTTTTAGAAAGCTCAAGCTCGCCATACAAATCCCAAGCTTGTATAAACCTGCGAGAATACATATGAAAGCCCAGAGGTTTTGGATTGTGTGGAAATCTAACCGAGCGCTCCGACCGCAAGATGACCGCGGCCCTCGTGGAGATGGACGACGTCCGCGCCTTCCTTCAGGTAGAAGCAGTCATCATGAGCATTGGATATGCAATGTCATGCATGTATGGTGCCAGGCTCATGACTGCATGGTAGACGGAAGCTGCGCTGGAAGCCGAGTTTGAGGACAGCTTGGCCCGCAGCCCGTACTCGGTCGAGACGTGGACGTCGTACCTCAACTTGACCGCGAACGAGGTCGACGCGGCGACGCACAAGCTACCGGAGCGTCGCATCAAGCTCTTTCGCCGGGCGCTCGCGCTCGTTCCATTGAGCTACAAGCTCTGGAAGCGGTTCATCGACGAGACGCACCAGTTGGTCCGCGGCCTGCGCATCGACGCGCCCGAGTACAACGACCTTCGCCAGCTCTACGAAGACGCGCTTGTACACCTGCACAAGATGCCCCGCATCTGGCTCAACTACACGGCGCTTCTGCGCACGCTGCGCCTCGGCACGGCCACGCGCCGCGTCTTTGACCGCGCGCTACGTGCGCTGCCCATCACACAGCACAAGCGCATCTGGGGCCCGTACCTCGAGTTCGTGCACGAGCAGGGCGTGCATCAGACGGCGATCGCGGTCTACCGGCGCTACCTCATGCTCGAGCCGACGGGCCGCGAGGCGTACGTGCGGTACCTCCAGTCCATCGAGCAGTATGTACTTCCTACCATGCGCCTTGTCATCTCATTTCTACTCGAGGTACGAAGAAGCCAGCGTGCAGCTCGTCCAGCTCATCAACGACGACCAAGAGAGCACGAAGGCATCGCGGCACGACCTGTGGATGCTGCTGTGCACGATGGTGTCGCAGCACCCGGAGCAGGTGTCGTCTACGCTGCACATCGACCGTATCCTCCGCAGCGGCCTCTCGCTCTTCACGGACGAGGTCGGGCGGCTCTGGTGCGCGCTTGCGACCTACTACATCCGCCTCGGCATGTTCGAGTCGGCGCGCGACGTCTACGAAGAAGCGCTGCTCGCGGTCCTCACGGTCCGCGACTTTAGTGTCATCTTTGACGCCTACGTCAAGTTCATCGAAGCCATGATCGCCGCGGAAATGGACGAGACGAGCTCGGTTGAGGTCGACCGCCTCTTGCAGCTGTACGAAGATCTCGCCGAGCGCCGGCCCAAGCTCGTGAACGCGGTGCTGCTGCGGCAGAACCCGCACTCGGTCAAGGAGTGGACCAAGCGCATTAGCCTCATGCACGACCCGATCGCCGTCGTCCACACCTACACGGAAGCGCTCACCACGATCGACCCCAGTCAAGCGACCAAGGTCAGCGGCCTCTGGATCGCGTTTGCAGCCTTTTACGAGACCCACGGCGACGCGCCGAACGCGCGCAAGATCTTTGCCAAGGCGCTCGCCGAAGGCAAGTTCAAGGCGGGCGACGAGTACGCGGCCATCGTCTGCGCACACGCCGAGATGGAGCTCCGCCTCGAAGAGTTTGAGATGGCGCTCGAGATTGTACGCGCCGGCTGCGGCAGCTACCGCAAGTCGATGAAGCTCTGGGCACTGCGCCTCGACTTGGAAGAGAGCCTCGGCGACGTGCGCAGCACGAAAGCGGCGTACGACCGGACGTTTGAGCTCAAGATTGTGACGCCGAGCATGGTGCTGCAGTACACGGCGTACCTCCAAGAGAACGAGTTCTTTGAAGACAGCTTTCAGGTCTTTGAGCGCGCGATCGCGCTCTTCCCGTTCCCGCACGTCTACGACATCTGGCTCGCGTACCTCCAGAGCTTTGTGGCGCGCTACGAAGGCCGCAAGCTCGAGCGCGCGCGCGACCTCTTCAACCAAGTGCTGTCGCTTGTGCCGACGACGCCGATCTCGACGTCCAGCGACAAGCCGATCGACATGGCGTCCGTGCTCTACACCGAGTACGCGCGCGTGGAAGAGACATATGGTCTCTGGCGCAACGCCCAAGCCATCTACGAGCGAGCGACGAATGCGCTCGAAGGGCCGTCGCAGCTGGCCATGTACTCGCTGTACGTGGCCAAGGCGCAGGCGCTCTCGGGCGTTGTGCACACGCGCAAGATTTACGAGCGCGCCATGGAGCACCTGCCCGACGCGCTCGTGTGGAAGCTCGCGCTCAAGTTTGCGTCGTTCGAGACGGCGCTCGGCGAGCTCGAGCGCGCGCGCGCCGTGTACCGCCACGCGTCCCAGTTTTGTGACCCGCGCTTGCACGAAGTCGACTTTTGGTCGGTCTGGCACGCGTTTGAGATTGGCCACGGCTCGGAAGACTCGTTCTTGGAGATGTTGCGCATCAAGCGCAGCGTGAGCACGCAGTACGCGCAGGTCAACTACATTGGCGTGCATGGCGCGGCGACGAGCCTCGGCATGGTGCCGGCCGCCAAGACGGGGGACGCGATGGTCGACCTCGAGCGCACCAACGTTGACGAGGACGAGGATGCGCCGCCGGCCAAGAAGGCCAAGACGACGACGGCCAACGCCGAAGAGATGGACCTGGACGACGACGACGAGGCGACCAATGTCCACACGAACGCGGAAGAGATCGACCTGGATGACGACGATATGGAGATTGAAGAGAAGAGCGTGCCAGCGGCCGTCTTTGGCCAGTAAAGAAGAAGCAATATGATCGTGTGTTTTTCATTTCGCTTACAACTAGTCCATGATGTTGATGGTGCTCAGGACATGCTTGCGCATCTCGTACTTGGTCAAAATCGGCTTTGCGCAGTGCAACTTGACCTTGTGCTTCCACTCGCCGGTCGCGAGCACGACGAAGTAGTGGGCGACGTGCGTCTTGGGCTCTTGGTACCAGCCGGTCCCGCCCTGGGTCGTGCCGGGCATGGCACCGAGAACGCCGCACGCTTGAGCCTCGGTGTAGAGCGTTTTCTGAAAAAGCTTGCGCCCGACGTGACCGCGGTAGTATCGCTGCAGGACCATGGACGCTGCGTGTTTGTGCGGATCATATCGATCCTGGACCGTTGACGCACTGCCGTCGTCACCGGTGTTACCACTTGTCGCCTCGTCGAAGCTCGTCTCGGGCGTCGGTCGCTCGTCACTAGGGTGCAGCCCGGTGTCGGCACTGACGGGCGTCTCGTTTTGTGGATCGGTGTCACGAGGCTCGTTCTCGTTGCCGATCGGAGGCATGGTGCCTGCCGATGGCTCGAGACTTTCGCCTAGCGCTAAAGCGTCGGTGCTTGTGCAGTCAGGTTCGACCACATCTGCGAGTTCAGGCGTCGATTCGGGCTCGCTGGCCGACTCCAATGACGGCTCGGAAGGTGTTGGGTCATTGGGAGCTACGTCAATAGGGTGTGGGTCTTCTGTTGTTGTGAGCTCCGCCTCCGATGCTGCCACCTCGATTCGTGCGCTAGGCGGTTCAAGAGGCACGACGTCGGCCGGTCGAAGCGGTGTTGCTGTCTCCACCCCTTCCACTGGCTCAGACGGCGACGGCATTGCAGCGTCGGACTCGTCCTCGATCAAAGCCGCGGGGGTCGCAGTCGCGCTATCGTCGCAAAGTATCGCTGCCGGCTCCTCCAAAGCACTTGGCGTGGCAGCTTTGAGTTCCAAGGCATCGCTGGCTGGTGCATCGGCATCAGTCATATCCGACTCGACAGCCGTCTCGACGTCGGTCGTTGCAGGAATTGGTTGCTCGTCAAGGACATTATTATCCAGAGTGCTTGGCGCACCAGTGTCTTCCGTGTCGCCAAGCACCACTGCCGGCGGCTCGTCAACCACGGCTGCTTCGATGGGCTCTGGCTCGTCGACCACGGCTGCTGCGACGGGCTCTGGCTCGTCAACCACGGCTGCTTCGATGGGCTCTGGCTCGTCGACCACGGCTGCTTCGACGGGCTCTGGCTCGTCAAGCAAGGCTGCTTCAATTGGTTCTGGCTCGTCAAGCAAGGCTGCTTCGATCGGTTCTGGCTCGTCGAGCACGGCTGCTGCGACGGGCTCTGGCTCGTCAACCACGGCTGCTGCGATGGGCTCTGGCTCGTCAAGCAAGGCTGCTTCGATGGGTTCTGGCTCGTCGAGCACGGCTGCTGCGACGGGTTCTGGCTCGCCCAGCATACTATCGGCAACCGACGCGTCCGTGTCGACAAACGTCTCCCCGGCATACTCGTCGGTCGGGCAATCAATGAGAACCAAATCTGGTTCTGAGGGCGTGGCTCTCTCGCCTGCTTCTAGAGCGACGCTCTCTTCGTGCACAGCGACTCGCGGGTTTTCGCTCGCACTTGCTTCGTGCTCTTTGATCGCGGCTGCACATGCGCTTGGCTCGTCTTCACGCCGCTCAGTGTCTTGGATGAGGACCTTGTTCTCGCCACCTCGGGCACTCGGTTTTGGGGCCTCGCGGCTCGGGACTTGGTTGCGCTCCTCGATTGCTACGAGCTGGATGGACGCAAGGGCGGCTTCCGTGTCGATGACGAGCGATTCGGGTTTCGCGGGCGATCGCATCGTTCGCAGACTCGAGACGCCGACGGTGTACGGCCGGTCCGAGACCTCCTTGCGGTGTACGATCACCTGGTACCCGTCGACGTCAAGCACAACATCCTTGCTGTGCTCGGTGGCCGTCACCAC